GGATTTTGGCATGTGTTTTACGAGTCATACCGCTCTACCTACTGTTTTGGCACACTTGAGCGTTGACTGACTTTGCTGCCTGTCTTCCTGCCTCTGCCTTCATGTAAGTGGGTCGCCGATAAGCCCAGCCAGCCTGCATGTCACCGTGGGTCGCCGATAGCCCAGTTCGCCAAGGCCACGTGCCTTTTCGTGTTCGCCTTCGTGTTTGCCTGCCTGCTTGTTTATGTTGGACCTCTCTGCCGCTCTTTTATCAACGCTCGTGATCTGTGGGACTCTGCTATCCACACAACAACTTCAACATCTGTGACTGTGTGTCGAAGAGTCTTTGATGAACATGTTGATCTCTCCATTTTTCTTGGCCATTTGTTGTTCCATGTCGTAGATGGCCGTCGTGGCTTTGATGGCGTCAGCCTTCAGTTGCTCGAGATAGCAGAGTTGCTCGTCCACAGGCTTAGCAGAGAGAGCTTGAAGTCGGTCGCGATGGTCGTATTTGACCACGCCAGGTAGCTGCTCCTCAGCTGCTTGCAGCTCTTTCCAAGCTCTGCACAGGCTGGCAAGTGCCTTGACGGTGGAAGGGACGGGCATCTTTGCAGAATTCATCATGCACAATCCTGAATGACGGGAAAGGTGGGGGCAAGCGAGCGGGCCCCCTGGAGAAAAGGCAGTCTCTATCGGAGTCTCAACCGTTTCTCACCGCCCCGCCTTCGTTTGAATCCTCCCCCTTCGTCTGATCCTCCGTTGCCTGAGGTTGTCTCTTGCGTGTGCGCTTCCTTCCCATCGAGCAGAAGAGACGGAGAGGATAGCTCAGTTTGTTGTCGACCTCGCATCGTGCCACCCCGTTCGGCGTGTGTCTGCATCTGTATACGCTGCAGTCGACAGCCCAAGTACGTGTGACCATCTTTGCACTGAGCGAATCGTTGTGCAGTATCGGCCTCGCAGGATATCGATGATGATTGAAGCCGTCAGGGAAGAACGTAATGCTGTCGTCACCTGTTGCCTTGCACACGGTAGGGATGCAATGTATGCATGCTCGTTAGTCTACGAGAGTGTCCTGCGCGTGTGGATGCGTGTGTGTCCCCCCTTCAGAGGCTCATTGATTGTTGAGCAAGGCAAGGGGTGGAGGACATCATACGAGTTGAACTTGGCTGAACAGAGCGAGACGTTTGTGCAGACTCATAGGGCGTCAGACTCATGGAGACCGAGGAGAGCGACAGCGACGATTTCATGGATTGTCTATCCGACTCGGATTTCGTCCCATCTCAAGAAGGTGGTATGCAGAGTGACAACGATTATGGTGGCTTCTCGTCGTCACTGTTGGGTGAGAACGTATCTGAGGCCGAGGGTGAGAGTACCGCCTCCGAGACAGAAGCTTCTGATGTCGAAGATGACATGGAAGGAGGCCAAGAGGGATCTGCCGTTCCTGTCCTGTGCAAACTGCAATGAGCCCGGCTACAACTGTCGGAGTTGCCCTCTCGTCTGCCGACTGTGCTTTCAGGAAGGATGCGGTAGAGGCCGTCGATGCCCCGAGTATTCTCAATATGCGGTTTATCGTCGACGAGGCTATGCTGCTAGGAGACGTGAGCCACTTCTGGATGCAGAGAGCGCTGCACGTGTTTTTGGGAGGCACTGCTGTCACAACTGCGGCCGAGTGCCCATCACGGACCACCACATTCCCATGCAGCTCACGGCCGTGCCGTCGACACGGCTGTCATCGCACATACGACTCTCTACTCGACGGGGCTTCATTGGCCGATTTCCACGGATGCGTGACATCGGCCGGCAAGAGTATGTCTTGTGTGATGAGTGTCTTCACCATCTCACATCGTCGACAAACGAAGGGCCGTTTCATGACGTCGACCGGAGCACGTGATGTGTCGCCTGGCCGGCGATCCTCGCCCACAGCATCGGCACTGGATCCATCGTCAATGCGAAAAGATCTTGTCGATTCTTCCTCAGTCGGTGACCCTTTTCTGGGCGGGTGCAGGTCATTTTTTCGACGTGTACAGCAGCTATCATGGTGATGGAGTACTGCTGTCTGCAATTTTGCTGCTCCGTGGCGATTTCACGTAAGGCACCTTGCTTGACGGCGTATGCAGAGTTGATTTCATTGATATTTTCTGCAGGTCACCTAGTTCGCAAGCCTCAGCACTGTTGGACATTTCCGTAGAGCGAGAGGCTATCATTGAGGCGATTGACGGGCTGGTCGGTTCAAATGCAGTGGCAGCATTTGATAGACACGTACCTCCAGAGGTGAGCGAGCCATGCACACTTGATTGCATTGTGTCTCCGCGGCAAGTGCGCATTGCATTGTTTCAACGCGTAGGTCCGGTGTCCGTTTGGCTGCTGGGAGTTCATTGAGCTCTCTGTTCTCTATTCAATGGGGCAGATCTGGCACCTGCTCGACGATACCTATGAGTCGCCCAAGAAAGGCGAGGGGATCGCAACAGACGGCTTTCGGACGGACTGGCTGACGTTTGTGATAGAGGACTTCTTCGGATGGCGCATCGGTCCGTGTGTGGCGTGGCGACGAGACATAGGGCTTGCCTACTGTTCGTGTCTCGAGCACGATCCAAAGAAGAAGGGGCCCATGCGGTTCCTTCACGTGCCCAGAAACCCCTTCACGCCAGATGCCGTCGTGCCGACTGATGGAGACCGGCTGGCTCGAATCGTCCCCAAGCCCCATTGGTATCGCTTGAGGCGCCTGGGCAGCAACTCTGCCGCCACCAGCATGCACTTTGTGAATGTGGCCTACGACGGCATGTCCGGCTTCAGCCTCGTAAACCGAGCGCGTTTTGACCGCCAAGATTGGCGGCTTTTCGCCCTCGAGGGGTCAATCCTCAGCTGCAACCGGCAGCTGCGTGAGTATCACCTAACTCACGAGGACCCGGCGCATGCCCAGTGGGCTGAGGAGCACCTGGAAGGCTACTCTCGCGAGTTCCCTTTCGAAGCAGCACGTGCAGAAGAGCAGCCGTTCCGTGGTGTGGAGTCGTGTGGAGCAACGTATGTGTCGTCGACCGATGCGCTCGACGATTATACGGCTTTCATGGCCTCGGACTCTATCGATGTGGATCGACCGGGTGGAGTGGGAGCGGCGCAAGGGCAGACCGACCGAACGAGCCCCGCAGCCTCCGGCGGCGCAGATGGAGGAGACAACGACGATTCCAATGTCCGTCGGGCCAATCAACGGCCCATCATCTTGCGCCCGCTTTGTTTGGTCCATCCAACCACTTCGCACGGTGCGGCAATTTACGCGATCCCATGTCTCAACCACCAATTCGGCGACCTTTGGCTTTTCGCGCGGCTCATGACCATGTCTCTTCTCTCTGCCTGGCGTTTGATGGTGGGGCGGATCAAGGCCGTGCAGCCTGTCCAGCATCCTCCTGCAGCAGCTGCGCACGCCCCAGGGACACAGAACCCCCCGCCCCCCAACAACAGCAGCAACACCAGCAGTGGACACGCAAGCACCACTAACGGAGGCCGTGCGTTGGATCCTCACTTGATGGAGCGCCTCTGGCTGACAGACGCCGTCAACTTTGCAGTGGGCATTGTGGAGGGGCGAAGCCTACGCAACGAGCAGAGACGTGGCCGCGGCCGACAGCCAGCGACAAGCTACTCACGTTTTACGTCGTGGTTCTCACGGGCGATTGGTCGTCAGCCGTTCTCTCCCAACATGCTGCTGAGCGGGTTCCTCTGCTGGGAGGGCGTGAGGTGTGTGCCGTGGCTGACACCCCGCAGCGAGGGGATCACTCAGGAGGCCATTCACCGCGTCCTGAGTGGAACCGTCTTTCGTCAGCAGGACAGCGTGCTTCCAGTGCCCGATGTGTTGCTGTTGATGAACAACCAGCTGCCTGCGCAGGGGGATGTCTCCCTTGGTAAGATGCATGGATGTGGGTGACGGGATAAATGGGCGCGTGAGTGCATGTGTCTAGGTCTCTGTATGGCGCTGAGTCAATGTGCTTGGTGTCATTTTGAATGTGTGGTGCAGCTACGGTCCCCGATATGGTTCATAGCTTCGTGTTCCGCGGGGAGGCGTTTGATATGGTCTGCATCGTCTCGGTTCTCCCACGGGATCCGGAGGCTCATCTGACTACCGTCGAACTTCGCCACGCCGCACCAAGCTACAAGACAGCGGCTCTGATGCGGTGGAGCCGAGACCATCCGGGCCTGTGGTTTGCTAATGATGGACATGTCCCTCAACGAGCGGACGCCCTACTGCAGCGGCCGGAGGCTAGACAATGTGCTGCTACAGTCGCCGCCTCATCGACTACAGCCATGCACGTTCGGTATGGTGCGGCGGTTCCTGAGGATGCGGTCCTTCGCCAGCGTGAGCTGATGAGTGGCCAGGCCGTTGCCAGGTGTCACGAGCACTCCAACTACTTCCTGTGCGTCGTGTCTCCGATGTCGCCGGTCCAAGAGTCGGTGCATTGCTGCCACCCACCCTATGATCCGACTGAGGACGGCATGACAGTCCGGCCAGCAACGTGCCAAGCCAAGGTTGTACGATTCACTTGTCCGTACAAGTCTCACTGCGGCAGTGCTGTGAGCTGGCAGTGTCCGGTCGGTCTCTGCAAGCAGCACTTCACAGACGTCAGCCGGCAGGTCGAAGAGGGATCTGTATCTATTTGTTTCCGTCCCCGGCCCCCGCCGTCCGGCCCTTCAGCAGCACCCCGCCCATCTGCAGCCGCGGCCCCTCCCCAGGAAAAGGAGGTTCGAAGGGACGACGACGAGAGGGAGGCGGCCGCTCAGCGTGACCGGCAGGAGTGGGAGGCAATCAATGCGGCACTGCAATCGGGGCCGCTTGACGAACAGCCAGTGTGTGACGAGAGCGAGAATCCGGACGAGCACCGGGAGCGTGCCGCATGGCGGGCGACAGTGGACGATGCAGTCACGAACGTGGGGCCTCCCGAGTTCGGCACCGATGATGCGGCGGCCGACGCCAGGCTGATGGACCCGGACAGCAGCGAGCTCCCCCTCTATTCGGTCAGCCCGCATGGCGACCGCGTGTGGGCGCACCTGGTTCTTAACCCGTGCCTTCGACTCTTGCGACGGCGCTCGAAGCACGATACGCGGATGACCCTGTCGGCCGAGCGCTTTCTGCAGACGCTTGTGGCCAAGGACGGTGCTCGTCGGGCCAAGTTGGAGTCCCCGGAAGCCTTGCTGTTTCCGAGTGTCTTCTTTGCAGACAAGGACGACTATACGGCGCTTGGGGCCCTTCCGGCCTCCATGCTGGCCTCTTCAACGTGGAACAAACAACGGCGGATCGCCTCCGCTATGGACCATTTCCGAATACGTCTTTGCGACCACTCGCTTGCGACGGCGCGCAGCGACAACTACATCGCCTTCATGTACAATATCAAGACCGACATGGAGCTGTCGCACACTCATTCGGCGCTGGTGCTCAACCGAGGCCCGGAGTTTCTGCAGACGCGTCGAGACGGCCAGGCTAGGGAGGCGACGGACACGGCACTACCGATGGATGCGACAGAGGCCCGGAGGCGAGTCCGCGAGGTGAATGCCTGGACCGAGGTCGGTAGCGGCATCACCAACGAGAAGATCTCTACGGAGGAGCTGCTGCGGCCACTGGTGACTGGCAGGGAGCTTCCCACATACTTCTACACTGTGACACTCAATATGTCTCAGCAATTCGGTATGTAATCGAAAACTAACCGTATCCATCAATCAGTGTGTCTCTGTACATGTGTGTGTCTGTGTATGTGTCTCTTCGTCGCATCTCGTGTCTATGTGCATCGACAGGCTTCGCCAGGCTCTACAATCGCATCGTCGATCTGTACACGGACACCGCCGGCAACAGAGATGAGGACGCTATTCATTCCTTCATGCCGCTGTTGCTGCGCTGCTGGTATCGGGTCTTTAAGTGGATCATCCGCTACATTAACGAGAGCGGCATCGCTGGCGAAATCCTCAAACACTGGATACGGTAAGGCACTTTTTGACGGAGCAAGGGTGTCTTGGCTGCGTGCGTGTCGTGCAGGGTAGAGTTTCAGGCCCTCATGGGGCACTTCCCTCATCTGCACGGCCTGCTGGCCACCTTCGAGGACCGCCTATCGACGATCGTCACCGATCGGGTCATCGCATCGACCGACTTCATGGCGGCCCGCCGATCGTCGGACGTCGGCAAGCAGCAGCAGTATCCCATGGAGCACTTCACTGAGGACCGGCGGCTGCTGCGTGACCCTAAGGATCTGCAGAACCTTGAGGATTTCATCAACGAGCACCACCGCCACAACTGCCACACTGCGGGAGGGCGGTGCCTGAAGGAGGTGCTGGACCGGGACGGCAACGTGAAGAAAATCTGTCGCCGGACACGGAACCGTGTGACCAACCAGCACATCTACGAGCGCATCACCTCAAACCACTCCGCCGAGACACTGAAGATACTAAGGGAATGGGGGCTGACAGAGGAGTCGGTGGAGCGGGCCGTCTATGTGAGCGGCCTCGACGGTAGAAGCCCCACTGCTGATGGCAGTGAGTACCCGCTGGAGCGCCCAGTGGTGGAGCTGGAGGGCGGCAAGCATTTTGCGCCGTCCGTGAGAGGCGACGAGGACATGTCTCCCTTTTTTCCGCCCCTGGCTGCTCTACTGAAAGCATCCATCAACGTGCAGATCGTTGATTTCTTCTTCAGCGGTGGATATTTGGACAAGTACGTACATCAACAGGCGCTGCGTGTCTCCCCGGCATGTTCGTGGATCGATGGTGTGATGTCTCGACACACAAACAGATACGCAGCGGGCGCCGAGGAGAATGCCAAGGCGATATTGAGAGTGGACAAGGACTCTGACAAGAATGTGCTGACCGACGTCCGTGTGGACGGCCAGAGCATGCAGAATCTCAAGATCAGCGGCGTGCAGATAGCGGCTTCTCAGAAAGCAGGCCAGCCAGGTGCGGAGGATGCTGAGACGGCACCGGCTCACCAGCGCAAGAAGCAGGCGAGGAAGACAGACAGCAAGGACAACAAAAAGAAGGGCCGCCACCGCGACGAGCGGCATCGAGAGGCACTCAAGGTGTGCATAGCCCAGATGCTCTGGGACCTGCACGACTATCCCTACGTCGTCTCGTCCGTCGAATTCGTCCACGTGAACTCGTGCCCGCCCGAGCAGCGGTGCGGGTTCACCCCTAAAAACACCAGCTTGTCCGCGAATGCAGTGCAGAACGCGCCCTAACAGCCGCGGCCCGCCAACCCACAGGGGTTCCGATCTGGTACCTCGCCCATTCCCATAGAGACACGGCAGCGCGACCTCGCCAACGTGCCGTGGCGGCAGTTTACCGAGCCTCAGCATGGGATCCTGTACGACCTCTTTACTACCTGGAAGCCACTGGATAAACTGGCCGTCTTCGGCATTCGGCATCCCGAGCTGCTGTGGATCGACAGCCTCGAGGAGTACTTCAAGTGAGTTTTTCATGGATACACCTTCACCTCCTGGACTCTAACGTGAATGTAATGTGTGGGTGTCTCAGGTGGCTGGTCATCTCTGCACGGCCGCAACTCAGCAGCCGGCAAACATACAACTCCTCTGTCTCTGAGGACGTTGCCGCCGTGCGGTTCGTCGACGGCAGTTTGCAGACGATCAGATTTCGACAGCGGTACCTCGAGGAAGCCAGGCGGGCCTGCCGCACACGCTGCTGTTCTGACGTGCGCCACGCTTCTCACGCGCCCATGGTGGAGCTGCTGGATCGCCTAGTGCGCTCCGTGGTGGACCTGAGCACGGGAAAACCCGACGTGGACGTCGAGCTTATCGACCGCTTCGTCAGCCGTGAGCCGAGACACAATGATCGTCCCATCGCGATCGTCTTCTCATCTATTCGGCCGAGCAACCCGCACAAGTTCCTCATCCACCTCCTGTACAGGTTCGGGCGCTTCACGTGCGACATGGACCTGTTCGAGGTGTCGAGTCTGCGCGAGAGCTTCATCCATGCGGGGCTGCTAAACGATCGACCCGACGACAACACGGAGGCTACGGCGAGAGACGCTGATCGGCTGCTGCGGCTCTGAGCGCGGCGGGAGCTGTTCAACGGGTCGTTCACCACCAAGGCGTTCGATGCCGCCCTCGAGATGGCAAAGGCTACCATCTTCGACCTGTTTCTCGGGCGGCCCATCCAGCTGCCCGGGGTGCCGCTGGTCGACATGGCATCCTTGCAGTGGGAGTTCGAGGAGTCTGTCAAGGAGGCATGGAAGGAGCGCCGCAAGCGCCTGAGTGTGGCCCTGGCGGGAGTGCTCGACGTGCCGGCAGCGCAGCGGCCACAGCTGCTGACGACACTGCAGGAGTCGACTCTGCGGCAGCCCTACCTCCCTCTCCGTCCGACACCTCTATCTGCGGGCCCCACACCATCAGCACAACAGCCGCGCTGGCAGCCTAACATCCAGCGGGCCGTGTCCATGGGGCAGACGACCGCATCATTCGACGAGCAAACGGAGGCCTACCACGTCGGCCAAGAGATTCTGGACGCTGCGAAGAGCGGGCTCCTCTCGTGGGTGCCCGGCCTGGTGCTCGTCGGACGGGCCGGCAGCGGGAAGACCCACGTGATGTGCGAGTTGGCCATGTACGCCATCGGGCTCGGGTTTGACATCGAGATCACGGCGCTATCCTCTAAACGCGCGCAGCAGTTCGGAGGCCTCCACGCTCACAAGCTCTTTGACCTCCCGGCGCACCAGAGCAACTTCCCGCCTCAGGTGCAGGCAAAGACGGCCATCGCCTCCCTCAGCCGCTCGCCGATCCGCTGGAACCTGCTCAAGGTCACTCACTGCTTTTTCATTGAGGAAGTGGGCCTGCTGAGTGCACAGACCATCGCGGCAATCGACTGCATCCTTCGCTATGTCCTCAACAACCAGGTGCCCTTCGGTGGGGCCATCTTCGTCGGCACAGGAGCGGTCTGCCAGCTGTCTCAGCTGGGCGGAGACACCTTCTGGTCGTCCACCTATCTCATCACCTGCTTTCGCGTAGCGGTCCTCAAGCACGGCATCCGCTTTCTGGACCAGTGGCAGGAGGAGGTGGTGGATATCCTTGAGCGGCCACGCAACACTCCGCAGGAAATCGCCCGGGTCGTCCAGCTCGTCGCCCAAGAATGCAACTACGTCCAGCGATGAGAGGACATTCCTGTAGCGGCCATCATAGTTTTCAGCAGGCACGAGGCGGAGAACGCCGCTGTCGACCGCTTCGTTCAGGGAGTGCAGCGAACCACCAATGTTGTGATGCACACGGTGAATGCCATCGATGAGGTGTCAGACCTGCCTGGCAGGTACGCAGAGACACAAGGGTCTACATGTGATGTGAAGACGTGCGCGTGTCGCGTCAGGTGGAGGATAACTCGAGACACGCGAGTGAGCAAACGGCTGTCGAGCCACGTCGCCGAGGTGCAGCAACTTAAACTCTGGGATGGAGCCTACATGCGCTTCACCAGCAACGTCAACGACCGAGGCATCTCTAACGGACGTCTGTGCTATGTGGAGGACTCCTCACATGCCGGTGACCTCCAGACATCGCATGTGGTTGTCCGTCTCTGCCCTCGGACGATCGACATCTCGTAGCTGCAGACAATCACACCAGCAGTCATCCAACAGTGCCCGCAGGTGCGAGTGCCCCGTGTCGCTACAGTTGGCATGCAGCTCGATCACCGCGGCACCATGGGCCGTCGCAACATGTTTCCGCTCGTCCATCATACCGCCTACACCATCCACAAGGCCATCGGAGACACAGTCCCCCTGCTCGGCACCCGCATCATTTCAAGGCTCGTCGCTTCAAGACATCTGTATCACCTCTGGGAGAAAGCGCAGCTCCTGGTACTCCTGTCTTGTACGATGCGCCTCAACCGTATCTACTTCAACAACACCCAGGCTGAGGTTACCGCTGCCATCGAGCAGCTGATGCGGGAGAGGTCTGCCTGGCTGGCGCACTGCCTGGCCAAGGTCAGAGCGCTGGACTGTCTCTCTACGAGAGCTTCCACCACCGGACAGAGCAGGCCTCTTGTAGTCGACTACAGCCAGTTCCCGTTCTCTCGGCGGATGATCGACATCCCGAATGACAATGTGGGATACGCTTACGCTCTGGGCAGCACGCGCGACGACTCCGAGTTCTACATCGGCTCGACCAACCGCCTGCAAGACCGCCTCGCCGAGCACAACAGCGGGCAGGGGCCGCCCTTTACACAGCGGCTGCATTTGCGCCCCTGGTATCTTATCGGGTATGTGGCGGGGTTTGGCGACTCGGGCGACGTCGACAGCAACAAGGCCTCACGGCGAGACTTCGAAGCCCGCTGGGATCATCGCATGAAGCTCGCCCCGTCGTGTATCCATCAGAGGAACAGCTGCGATTGACGACATTGTCGCCCACATGAATGATCTCGTCTCGCACTTTCTCGCAATGATCTCGTCTCGCACTTTCTCGCGAACGGCGCCAGACCTCATCAGTGCAGCGGGCTCACGGGCGTGGTATGTGTCGAGCCAGTGCAAGCGCCCTCTTCCCGTCCATCCGACTGAGGTTACGAGCTATGTGTATGCTTCTTTTGAGGCGTTCTCTATAGGATATCTGCGTAGAGTGCAGAGAGACATGGTCTGTTTGCCATTGTGGGACTTTCAGCTATTGTGACACCAAGCAAATCAGGGTCTTTGCCCGTGTGAACCAAATCAAAGCACGGCGGCGCTGTGTGCTTTCTGTTCAGCAAATTCATGCACTCACATATATCATATATATCAGCAGCAGCAACCTGAGGTCTTTGCCCCTTGTCGAGCGACGAAAATACGGCATATCGGCTCATGTCTTTCTGTGGAATAGCCTATGAATCAAAAGGTATACTGTTAAAGCTTATATGTATATATTCCCACACAAACATACATAGATACATACCTATCTATCTATCTATCTATCTATCTGCAGCAAACATACATACATACGTACATGTTTGATGTGTGTGTGTGCGCTTCGGTCAGTTCTCAGGGCTGAAACGCGTTGGGCGGCCTGCGTGGCGGCGCGGACGGTGAGCGAGGCTATCGGCACCATCCTCGGCGCCTGCATCCGCTGGTGTCTCCGTGGCGTCATCCTGCTGCTGGGCCGCTTGTGCTGCTTGGGCAGGCTCAGCAGTCTCCTTACCACAGAGGCCGGCCTGAGCGGAGCCGGCTCAGCAGTCTCCTCTCTCGTCGTTAGCGGAGCCGGCCTGAGCGCAGAGCAATCCGATCAGAGCAAGTCCCTGAACCGTACCGGCCACGTCAGAGGGAGAGGCACGCTCGGCGTCGACCTCGGACTGGGGCTGGGGCTCGGTCTCAGGCTCGTGCTCAGGCTCAGGCTCGGGCTCAGCGACAGGCTCGACCTCACACTGTTCGACCGGACCGGCCACGGGAGCGGTCTCACGATCATCAACGGTAGCCCCCGGCTCGGCGGTGAGGTCGAGAATCAGTTCCAGCCCAAAATTATCGTCCATGGGCATGCGAGAACCTGGCAGATAGTCATTCATCATGCCACACCCCTGACAGTGTGGTCTCAACACTGACCGTCATGTATCTGGGAGGGTGACACATACGGTGGGACGCAGACCTGCGGCATGTCAGTCGGCCCTGCACACACAGACATGGACAAACACACGCATATCTGCACGCACATACACTGTCAATAAGGGTGTGTTCACCTGCAGGAGGAGGCGGCGGGAGTGACGCCTCAACATCCATCGAGTCACTCTCAATTGTTGCATTGAGACGGGTGCGCTTCGGGATGGCTTCAACGGTGTGTGGTACTGTACACAGACACCATCAGAGAGAGACAGAGCAGAGACACAAGGAGAGAAAGGCACAAAGAGATAGAGACAGTATGAACTCCCATGTCTCTGTCTCTGTGTATCCTACAGCGTAGGTGTAATAATACTCACCTTCTCGACGCTGCGGCAACTGGGTCCCGGACCGCTGGGCTCCAGGCGGCGGGAGGTTAGGGAACACGTCCTTCATCGACAAATTGCCGCGACAGAGAGAGCAGCTACGAGAGGTGCAGGAGGGCTTCGCCGACCACGCGCAAGAGCGGCATGTTCCCTGCCCACAATGCGGACACTGCACCTACGTGTTTGGAGGACACTCCTTCATACACACGGGACGGTACTCGGCGGCGGAATTGGTGGTGGCTTGAGGGTTGGGGTTGGAGTTCTTATTGCCATTCCCATTAGCGTCGCACCGTTGGCCGTTAACAACTACACCAGGGGGACAGACAAAGGGGCCTGTCGGAGATGCGGCATCCCGTAAAACACGGCCCTTTCCTCTGGTCTTCTCCTTAGCGGCGCTCTTCCTTTTGCGGGACGGCTTCGGCTTGGGCTTCGACCTTCCGGTGGTGGGAGCGCTGCTGGTGCCGGTGCGGTCAGCAGCTTCGCCAGAATTCGCTGTACAACGCTGCCCTCCTCGGAAAGCCTGCTGTTGCTGCTGCTGCTGAGTCACCATCTCCATACGGACAGCCTAACAGACGGACACACAAAAACTATGACAAACTAAGTAAAAGGACAGCAGACATAGACATACTATGTTGTATCAAGACAAGAAACCAGTGCCGCGTGTTTCATCACATATTCTCAAACATGTATGTACACCCACATCGACAGCCTGATAGTGGCCGGGGCCGCCATTGGGCCCTGGCGTAAACAGCAGGTGGATCGTGCGAATCGTCCACGGGGATGGAAGGGGCGTGGTGGTGGCCATGTCGGGGTTGTACGGGTAGAATTGATAGTGCTGCACTCGGTCAATCCGCGTTAGCGCCGTCGGCAGCGAATACCACACATGAATGTTCACGCGCCGCTGCTGTGCGATCGTGCGCAGCTCCACCTCTCCTCCCTCGACTCCCGGCTGTCTCATCTGCTGAATGTACTCCTCGCGAGTCCCCGCAGCGCCGAACACCTCATCGTCCTCCTCGCCTCCCCCTTCAGCACCAGGGTTAGTTTGCCCACGATTGCGTGGCGCCTGCAGTACGAACCGTCCGAGGTGAGGCCTGCACACAAACGCAGCAATACAACACACATGAACAAGCCAAGAAGACATGCGATTTTCAGTGAAGACACACGTTTGCGTACCACAGCTCGTTAACGGCGGCTACAGTATTGCGATGGAAGTCATGGACGACATTCATGTCGACGACTTCCTCGCGGGGGACAATATTTAGGGCCTGAGCTGCTGCAATAAACAAGCAGTCGCCTTGGCTCGCGTTGTTTGTGCGTATGAAACGGTATGTCGTGCCGTCCCCATATGTGCCCGTCAACTCTCGCTTCGAAAGGTAGACTGGACGCATGTTGACCGGCTTGAGATCACAAACGCAATGATAAACAGCAAGCCCTTTGCGCGACAAGGTCACTCGCCTGTCCGCTGCGTCGCACTGCGTTGGGGGTGCCACAGAGCACCAGCAAGAGGAGGAGGAGGACACGTAGGCGTCCACTGCTTCGGCTGAAGACCCTGGGTCTGTGCTGACGAAAGGTGCGGGGCCGTGTACCTGTTCAGATCCACTTTTGGCCCGGCCTCTATAAAGGCCTCACGGCCATGCACAAGATAGATGGCCACCAGGTGGATGTTCCGAGCGTGGTCGTACTTGTGGGGCTGCCCGGAGTGTTTCACCTACCCACACACCAACACGCGCGTCGTCTTGAGGAAGTTGTTGAACTCGACCTCAAACCAATCAAACACCTCCGGATCGACGTTGCCAGGCTGCAGGCTGTCAATGGCATTCGAGGCTATCACTGGATTACCATATCAGGAATCACACAAGTGGGTGATGTGCTGTCGGTTTCTTCTTCTGGCTGGTTGCGGCCAACCGTATTGGGTCAGAAACCGGCGGCTCTGAAAGTGCGTGAACCCGCCAAACTCGCTACACCCCACTTGTGCCGACACCACAGCAGAGCTGGCTATAGTTTGCGCCCGCTGAAGACAGACGTTGCATCCGTCTCCGCGGTATTGCTTGTCGCACAGACTCCCACCGCACGCGGCGACCACTTGAACAACGGCAGAGACACACACATATACACACACACGCCCGCCCGCACCCACACACACCCATAAGCAGACAGACCCACAATCAGCCAGAGAGAGAGAAACGAGGTTCTTTCAGCTCTCTCTCTCTCTGCCGACCCCAGTGACAGCAGATCGTGCGTGTCATTGAAAAGGCAGACACACATACAAATTCACACGCATACAATGGCATTCCTGCCTGGTATGCTGTATGCTGTATTGTCTGGCTCATCCGGCGAGCTGACACACCCGTGCGGTGTCTTGCGGCGTGTAATTGATTAGGCCGAACATTCTTCGAGACCTCAACTCTCTGACACACACCGTTCTCACACAGTTGGCAGCACAACGAAGAGTTAGAGTAAATGATGGCCTCCTCATCTGTCCCCTCCTTTCGCTCACATGCAGAAGAAGAGGGTTGAGTATGTACACACCTGGCCGGGAGCCTGACCGCCGCTGCCGCCCTGGCCTGCCTGCTGCTGCTGCCCCTGCTGCGCACCGGCTCCGCGGCCGCTTCGACGGTTCAGGGCCCTCTTTGTCAGCGTCAAAGGGGTCGTGCCGGTCTGCCCGGTGATGTGCATGATAATGCACTGCAGCTTCAACCCCATGCCGCAACGGGCCAGCCCGCCGGTCGCGCTGTCGGCCTCCACCAGGGCCTAGGGCGTGGTGGCCTGGATGCCCCGCCGGTCGCAGTAGGCGCGGGCCGACCGGATGCCCTCGTTGACGCCGTCCCTGGCGAAGAAGTGGGCCAGTTTCGACTCGGCCGCCGGGTCTCGGCCTTGGCCGTGCCCTCCAGGCACCACAAGAAGAAGAGCAAAGAGAAGCGACAGAAGAGACGGAGGGGATAGCTTAGTTCGTTGCATCGTGCCACCCCGTACGGCGTGTGTCTGCGTCTGTGTACGCTGGAGTCGACAGCCGAACGAAACAAGGAGGAACAGAAGGGGGCTGAGAGGAAGGGGGCCCCAGGAAAGGGCCCCGCAATGGGGACCGGAGACGCGTCTCAGCGTTTACATTTCCCACACAACCATCTTTGCAGTGACCGACTCGCTGTACCGGCCTCGCAGGACATCATTCATCCACCGCGGCTTAGGTCGACGCCTCTGTGTGTGTGTTTGGTTCGTGCAGTTTGGTTGGCGCATCACAATGGCGGTCTCTGTTGGTGGTGTTAGTATACCGAAGTGCAGTCTGTGTCAGGATGACTATCTGGCGCATGGACCCAAGGCACCCATTGTCCTCAGATGCGGTGATCAATACACACACACCGCACACAAGGCCAACACGTGAATCAATGTGGCTGTGTGTGTGGCTGTGTGCGTCGCTCTGTGTGTTCGGCGCTTTCTCTTTGCTCAGGTCATTCCTTCTGTGCGGCGGTGAGTGAGTGGGCACGGAAGAGGGTGTTGGTGACACTGCCATGCTATGTGTCTGTCTGCAGTGTGTGAGACAGTGCATCCGCCACCATCCCCACGAACATCGTGTTGCCAACTGCCCCGTGTGCAGGTAAAGCGACACACATATGGGTGTGAATGGGTCGTTCAACATGTCCCCCTGCATTCGGAAGTGCGTCGTGTTGATCAGGAGGGGGACTGCGGAGGCTGACATCCAGGCCAACCACGGCGTGAGAGAGGTCATGGTTTCCCTCCTGGCGGTTCACATGCAAACGGTGAGACAAACAAACCGACACACACCGTGACTACGACAGCCATGCTCATATCGTGTGTGTGTGTGTGTATGTGTGTGTGACTGTCTTCTTGGCAGGTGGATCTGCCGAGGGGCACTTCGCTAACCCGACAGCAGTACCACGGCCTGCTGGGACTGCTGGGCGACCACACTATGAAGCTGCAGTCCGTCTACCGGTATGTGTGCAGCCGACAAACACAAGCAGAGGGAGAGGAACAAAGCATCGTCTGCGTGTGTACGTCAGGTCATTCCGTGACGGCACCTTTGTCGCCGATCTGAAAAAGTTCTATGCGGATGAGATAGAGGTGCTGCACGTGTGCACATTTGGCGTAGCATGAGCTGCTGCTTGAATGTGAGTGTCGGGTGTGCGTGAGAGACATAACAGACCTATCAATGATTTCTTGTCTACATTCCGTCCGTCCAGTTGAATCCATCAGCCAACCACACATAAACTCACCACCCAACAGGCAGACAAGCACGTAATCCATGGTGATGCGCTTGCTGCGGGGTGTCAGCCACAGACCTCTCAGCTGTTTGATCATGTCTGTCTGTGTTTGTCTGTTTGCTTGGTCATCTCTTTGACTGTTTATCTGTTTGTCTGTCTGTCTGTCTGTCTGTCGATTTGTTTGTCTGTTTGTCTGCTTGTTTGCTTGTCTGCTTGTCTGTCTGTCAATTTGTTCGTCTGTTTGTTTGTTTGTTTGCTTGTCTGCTTGTCTGTTTGTCTGCTTCTCGTCCAGGACGGTGTGCCGGAGAGTCAGTCTAAGGCCGCAACGGGACGCCTCGCTCTTCACCGCACGGGCAATCAGCTCACAGACGCCCATGCGGTGCCCCGGTGCCACGGTAAAGCACCGCATCGGGGGGTGCCCTCCCTTGCCCAGCACTCGAAAATTGCCAAGCATGGCCCGGCTGACCCCCTGCTGTGACGGGTGGGCGGTCTCTGGCTGCTTCTCCATCTCCTCGCTGGGGGTGCAGATTATCCGCGCCGCCTCCGCCACATAGCGGCCCACTGCTGTGTTGATGCGGCCGCCGATCGGCGAGTCGCCGATGGGGATGGGAGGGGGTGAGCTGTCTTTGGTGGGGTTCTTTTTGTTGATGCACACCAGGGCGTCCGGTGGGAGGATGGTGGGCTCCGTCCTGAAGGGGATGCGCTGGGTGAGGGAGGCCATGATGCCGCGTGAGGGCTCCAGGGCCTTGTTGATGGCGTCCATCGCAAGCTGCGGGATCGATTTGTTGAGGAAGTGGGAGTATGCGGCGATGAGGGTCTTCTCAGCCGTCTCGCTGTCGTCCGACCTCTCGTCATCGTAGGGTCGGTCAGGCCGATAGCCGCACACCCCCGGCAGGGTCTGCAAACGCCTCCCGTGCCGGGGGGGGACCAGCCCAGCGGCCGACACTGACGCCCCACGCTCCAACAGTCGGACCAGCACATCCTTGGTCGCGTCTGTGCTGCCGGCGAGCTTGCGCAGCAGGGTCACGCCGTCGCTGTTGGGCGTGTCCAGGTGCTGGGCGCCGTGGTGGAGCAGCCGCGTCACCGTGGTGGAGTAATTCTGCTGGATGGTGTTCATCTCGTCGAGATACGCGTGCCAGAGGGGCCGCTTGCCCTCCCCATCCACCACGTTCACGACATCCCGGCCCAGCTTGGCAACGAAGAAGTCGATGAGCAGCTCCTGGCACTCGGGGTCGGTCAGCGGGTGCTGGCAGAAGCGATGGATGGGCTGCATCCCATCCTCCACCTCCGTCAGCACAGATGCGTCACGATCGGCGATGCTCTTGATGACGCTCAGCACCCCCTGCGGCTGTAGGGGACGGAACACGCGCCTGTCGTTGTCGTAGCCACCTGCTTGTGCGACGGCGTGTAGCAGCTTCTGTCCCCCTACTGCAGCGGCATGCTGCGGGACGAGCATGGCCTCCACCAAATCCCAGTCGCCCTTCTTGGCCGCACGGCTGAGGGCGATGGCACACTGCCCATCCACAGCCGCAGGGCACCCCGCAGCGAGAAGCAGGCGCACGAGGTCGTCGGTGTCGTTGCCGCCATGGTACTCGGCGACCAAATCGATGAGCGTCCGGGCGGCACCGCCATTGGTCGCCGTGATGACCTTGGGGTCGGCTCCATACTGCTGTATCATGCATCTTGCCGCTGCCGCCTTGATGTCGCCGCACACAATGCTCTTGGCCAGCTGCCGTGTGGCCTGAGAGGCGCCGTTGAAGGCGATGGTTGTGGCGGAGTCGCGAGGGTTGCGGCCGAACGCTGAGGCGTTGTGGTCGAAACGGCGGATCTGCACCTGGTCGGGCCATGGGGCTGGGGGGCTCTGTGTTGTAGTGAGGGCGGTGAACGGCGCCGGGGGCTGGGGAGAGCTCCACACTGACGAGGAGGAAACCTGAAAGATGATTCCACACACGCACAGAAAGGCCATGTGTTGTGTATGTCCCGCATAATATCTTGTGTGTTCCGGCCACCGACCTGTGAGGTGTCTTGAGCGTGCCATACAGTGGTGTATCTGGAGGAGGGCATCGGGTCCCAGCCGCTGTCGCTGACCACCACGAACAATGTGTCTGCATCCACACAGACGCTGCGTCCCTCCTGACTGGTCGAGCAGATCATGGAGCCGCCGCCGAGTCCGAATCCAGAGTACTGCCGTCGGGCCCTCTTCTTCTCCCGCTGCTTGATCCTGCCGTCTGGGCCGACTATGGCGTAGCAGTACACATGGTCGCCCGTCGGCACAGCCGCGCTGAGGGTCCAGGTGTGCTGTCGCGCGACGTCTATGCCTGTCGGACGCGCCATCTTGAGCACCTTGCCTCCAATAATCAGCGCAACTGTGCCAAACACACACATGGTGGACATCACTCTGCCGCATGCCTGCATTCCGTTTCCTTTGCTGTCCGTACCTGCGTCGCCGGGCTCCATCCGTGGTGCGCAGTAACCTGCGTCTTCTTTGAAGGTGACCGGCACCACATGACTTGGTGCTTGAGGCTGCTCCGATGCCGACGAAGCCATACTACAAGTGATGGTCACTGTTTTCTGAACTAAAGCCTAAAGAGGCCCTCCCTCTCGGCCGCCCGCCTCCGCGTCATGCCGAAGGCTACAACCATGAGGGATCGAGAAAAGCAGAAAGAGCAGCAGTGAGGAGCACAAGACGACCAGCAGCATCAGCTGAAGCGAAAAGATCTGCGTGCGCATGAGTTACATTTGCTGTGTGATCGAGATGAATCACGATGGAACAATGAGACTCAAAAACACCGTCGCCGACATCATGATGTGGCCGTGCCTGCATTCATGGTCCTCACACTGCATCGCACACAAGCTAGGGTGTCCCGTGTGTGTGCACACATGGCCACCACCGCATGAATGAACCAAAGCCACCACCAACTACTCTACCGCAACACCGAAACCAATCATGAGCTACACCTCAACACGCCCCCCACCGCCCGTGGGTGGCCGTCGTCCCCACTACAGCACAAACTCGCTCTCCTCCACCCCCTTGACGTCGCTGAGCTTGATCATGAACAGTGACCCAGCGGAGGGGTATTTCTGCAGCTCCTCATCGGTCATCCGTCGGCGAGTAGTGGTGATGAAGAGGGTGTCCAGGTTCTTGCCACCGAACGCTACGCATGTCGGATTGGGAACCGGCAGTGCGATCTCGCGGTCAATCCTGGCCGAAAGGGAAGGAGAGGGGCATACATGGGCATGGTTTTCCCTGTGTGTCTGTGTGTGCGTGCGTGTGCATGGCGCTTACTCTCCCTTGGGTGAGATGCGGATGACCTTGCCCTGTCCGAACCATGCAGTCCACAGATAGCCCTCCGAGTCAACCGCACTGACGATGGACAGCAGATGGACACACAATGCAACATGATGCTTTCCGTCCCGTCCCTCTGCCTTGTCCCACTCACTCACCTGCCATCGGTGATGCCCTCCTTGTCTTGTGGCATCTTCCAGAACACCTCCATCTTGTCTTCCTTGACCGTGCCCGTGTCGGCGTCATACGCGTACGAGCGGATCTCCTTCGTCGGCGAGTCACAGAAAAACATCGTCGACCTGAGAAAGATACACGCAACCACACACATGTGAGAGAGAGAGATCGAGATCGGATGGAGCGATTGATGAAATGTGTCAATTCTGACCCGTCGAGGCTGAAGGCGAGGCCATTGCCCACCTTGACGCCCTGCTGTACAAGCTTGGTGAGCTTGCGGGAGGCGTCCAGCCGCCAGATGCCGGCGCTGGCCTTGCCGTCCTCGCGGTAGTTCTCGTTGTAACCACTGATGACGAACCTGATGGCAGCCAAAAAGGTAAGTCACACCATCCCACGTGAGTGCATGGCCGGCTGCCTTGTCTCCCTGGCCGCCTACCTCCCCTGTCTGTCTGCGCGTCCATCGTTGGCGCGAGTGTTGGAGATGTCGGCCTCGAAGTCGTCCAGCTTCTCGATGACCTTGTTCTCCTCCAAACTGTACAGCGACACGCTATCTTCAAACGCTACCAGCAGCTTCTTCGTCGGCGACGCGCCCTTGACCAGTGCGAAGGATCCCGGCCGCTTGGGCACGTCCCACTTCTCCGCTGTGTTGCTCTCAGGATCATACGCCCTGCCAACATCCACCCACACGAGTCGAGTTAGTTGTGCCCGTGTGCTGCTGGTGGCACGAGAGAGAGGAGTTCGCCTCACCAGATCTGTTTCCCTTGGATGTCAACCCACAAGAGATTCTGCAGCTCAGGAGACCAAATCGGGCACTCGCCTGCACAGGAAGATCAGCAGCCAGCCACATCAGAGCAACGCATCTACCATTCCATCTTTCACCCTCACCGAGCACATTTCGGCTGTCGTAGGCCAGCTCTGCCGTGGCGACCATCTGAGTCTTTCGAGCTTCGAATGCAGCGGGGCTGTTGGCGCACTTGCCCGGGGAGGCGCAGGTGGGGGAATGCGGGACAGCGGCTGCCAGGCGTGAGGCGGAATGCACTTGAAATGCCTGGACAGTCCAGACGAAAAAAGTTGAGATATATGGGCGGGCAAGGCGATTGCAAGAACCCCTCAGCATGAGCTGCGAGCCATCAGACTGCGAGCTTTCGCGATCGGGAGAGATCTGCTCATCTCGCTTCTTTCGGCGAAAGGACCAGCTGCCAACAGCGCGGAAGGACCAGCAGCACCGACCCGTGTCGCCAAATCGACAGATCTATCAAAACACTCACCTGGGAAGCCGAGCAAAGCGAGCAGTGACGATGCAGAACGGCGTTGTGAAGCTCAAGAACCTGGTTGAGAAACTGATCGCCAGGTAAGCACCACGCCGCAGAGAGAAGCGTCCACATAATCATATGTGTCTTGCGCCCGTGTGTGTGTGGTTCTGTCTGTGGTCAGGGAGGATTTGGGCGAGAGCGAGACCGCGTTTGCCATCGATGAGCTGCTCACCTTTGACGTGTCCACCGTGTCCACTGATCCAGACATGCAGGCACTCGCCTTCCAAATCCCGGCCTTCCTCACTCTACTCAGGTACGACGACCGACCGACCGACGGAGGGAGGGAGCATTCTTCAGCACGCTCCACACACGTCTGATTGTGTTTGTTGTGGGCAGGTCCAAGGGCGAGACTGCCGAGGAGGTGTGGGGCATTGTCAAGGGGCTGAGGAGCAAGGGCGTGACCATCAGGTGCCAGAGGAGGGTGCTGGACATTGTGGGGACGGGCGGGGATGGAATGCACACCGTCAACATATCCACCGGGGCTTCCATACTCGCGGCCGCATGTGGCGTACCCATGGTAAGTAGGCAGACATGGATACCATACCCCTTGAGTGTGTTCGAGTGGATCCATGCGGATCTGTCTGTGTTGGCGTCTGTGCAGGCCAAGCATGGGAACCGTTCTGTGTCATCGATGTGCGGGTCAGCGGACGTCTTGGAGGAATTCGGGGTCAACCTGGACCTCTCGGCAGAAGGGGTCAAGAGGTGAGGTGACCATCATCAAGGCCAACAACACTTCCGCAGAGGGCTGCCTCATTTATGTGTGTTGCCTTTTACATTACCCGCCCGAAGGTGCATCGATGAGCTGGGTATGGGTTTCTGTTTTGCCCAAAAGTTCCATCCGGCGATGCGGAAGGTGCGTGAGATCCGCAAGGGCCTCGGGGTGCCGACCGTCTTCAACCTGATCGGTCCGCTGCTCAACCCCGCCCTCTCTGAGCACCACCTCATTGGCGTCTACGACCCGGCATTCCTGGACCTCTTCGCCGGTGTTTTGGTCAAGGCTGGAGCCAAACACTCGATGGTCTTCCATGGGCAAGGTAGGTGAGCTGACGACTCAATGTACATCAATGATGTTGCTTACACACGAGTGGCTGGCTGTTTGCGCGTGTGTGTGTCAGCATTGGACGAGTTGAGTCCGTTGGGGCCTGCCCAAGTGGCTGAGGTGCTCGACGACGGAACCATCAAACACTGGACACTAGGTACACAGACGAGGGGGAACACAGATAATGAATGGCACAGCTTGCCATGTGCTGCTGTGTGTGTGTGCTCAGACCCGAAGGACTACGACATCTCCTACTGCAAACTGGAAGACCTTAAGGTGACCACCGCACAGCCACAGTCAACACACACTCTCCCAACACACATTGTCATCTCCTTTTTTGCCCTATTCCCTGCTCATCAATCAGGGCGGCCCGCCGAGTGAGAATGCGTCGCTGCTGATGCAGACCTTTGAGGGCAAGAAGGGCCCCATCGCAGACACACTCGCGCTCAATGCGGGGGTGGCACTGTGGTGCTACGGGTCGGCGCCATCCATCAAGGAGGGGGTGGAGGCTGCACGGGAGGCGCTGCAGGCCAAGAAAGCAAAAGACCTGCTCGCCAAGTGGGTGGCGCTGAGCAAGCAGCTCACGTAGAGAGATATGGATGGATGTGGGGCGGGGCGGGGCGAGATGATCTTATGATTTTTGGAAGGGCGAGTCAGTCAGATTCGCGGGCAGGCAGGTTCTTTGGTTGTGAGGTCGATGTGTCTGTCCATGTCCATGTCCATCCGCTGGATTCTTTGCGGATCGGATCGGATCGGTGCCTGCCGTGTGAAGTGAGTGAAGGAGTAGGGTAAGGGAGTGTGGACACACTTGATTGACTTGAAGACAGCCATCCCTTTTGCCTGAAGCCTTTTCACTCAAGTCACGAGCAGACAGACACACGATAGATATGATGCATACGGGTCTTTTGGCGAGAATATCGAATGCGGTTTTTTGCTCACACACTCGCCCCCATCACACATCACACAGGCCATGCAGCTGACACGCCTCTCACACACGCACATCACACCACCTCACGCGCACATACAATCAATGCAAAGGACGCCGAAGCGCACAAACGTGAATAAATATTTGAGAAGCAGTAAGTAAGGCATACATAACACTGACTGACTTATATAGGTCGGCACACACACCTATCGCACACGGCACGGCACAGACAGCACACACAAGAGGCAGGCAGAGAGGGCCATCGACAGGAAAGACTTCACAGCGCACCAGGCAGCAACACCCATATGCACACAGCCAGCAGCACCAGCAGCAGAAAAGAATATTGACATTCTTCAACAGCAAAACATGCCAAACAAAGAGTGAGTGGTCTCTCTGATGCACCACTCATCAATCACGCGCCCTTCTCGCCGCCGGGCTTGCTCAAAACCAGGGCGAAATTGGGCTCGACCACCTGCACCGACCCATCGGCCTGCACCCACTCAGCCGCGAACCGCTGCAGCTGCTCGTCACCGATGTGGTCGACGGCGAAGACGCCGTGTGTGGTGGCCTCCCACCACACGAAGAAGTTCTCGAGTGTGTCGTAGGCGTGCATCCCGTCCTTGCGGCTGAGGGAGAGGGTCTCGAAGCCCACGGCCTCGCCCAGTGTGCGGAGTGTGTCTGCGTCGCGCCAGTAGAAGTCGGCGTGGATGGCGTCGCGGTCAGACGGGGGCAGGAGGGCCGTGGCCGCCACGATGGTATCGGGCAGCCGCTCAGTCGTCTGCAGGGCCAGACGGCCACCTGGCTTCAGCACCTGAGACCAAGACAACAGGGCAACACAATCACAAAGTCCCACGCCATCATCTTGGTTTCTGTCCTGTGGTCGGTGCCTGCCTTGTTTGCCCCCACCCACCTGATAAAGGCGTTTGAGGACGAGTAGGATGTCGTGGTCGGTGACCCACTGGATGACGTAGTTGGAGAAGACCACACTGAAGGGCCCCTCAGGCACATCCGCGTCCCGGCCCTGTACAAACGTCACCTCGGGGTGGCACAGCCGCGCCACCTGCAGCCGCCGCTCGTCGGGGTCCAGCCCCACCACCTCCCCGGCAAGCGACGCCATGTAGGCCGTGATATCCCCCGTGCCGCAGCCGAAATCCAGGCACCGGTCGGCGTCGGTGAGGGCGAGCTGCTTGACGAAGTTGATGCCTTGCTGGTACTGCCAGGAGGCGGTCTTCTGGTAGAGGGAACTCTGACACTCATTGCCGCCCTTCTTGCCACCCATGGCGCATTCGGACAGCCTCTCCCACCGACCTCCGAGACTCAACGGTAACGGCTCCTCCGTCTGTTTACGGAAGGGCCATCGACACTGCGCCGCCTAGCCGCAGCCGTCACACGCTCAAGATGCGGCTGATCGCATGTCTGTGGCTGCCCCTATTTGTCCAATCGCAAAACGTCACCATCAAAGGCCTATGGGTACGTCCGGCCTGCTGAGCTCTTGGGCTGAGTGGCTGTCTGTCTGTGACCTCTGTCCCTCCCTCTCTGTGTGTGTGGTTGTGTTGTGTCCACCAGAGTCAGTGGCACAAGATAACGTTCGACTTCATCGGCCCCTACACAGAGGAGCAGGCTGCCCCCAGCCCCTTCGCCACCTACCGACTCACCGTCACCTTCACACACAGCGGCTCCGACGGCGAAACCTCATACGACGTCCCGGGATTTTTCGCCGCGGACGGCAACGCCGCCCACACGGGCGCGACAGGCGGCAACGTGTGGCGGTGCCACTTCAGCCCACCCCATGTGGGCATGTACCACTACAGGGTGGCCTTTCTCACCGGCGATGGCATCATTTTGGACCCGTCGTTGGCTGGTGAGTCTGCTGGGTACATGGATGGCCTTGAGGGGGATTTTGTGGTGGGCTACTCTAACAAGACGGGCAGGGACGCACGTGCCATGGGGCTGCTGCAGTACGTCGACGAGAGATACCTCTGGCTGGCGGTGAGTCGAGTCGGGAGAACACATGGGCAAGCGGGAGGGAGGGAGGGAGGGAGGGAGGGAGGGGGTTGCTCGGATGCTGCCGCGTGCGTGCTCTGTGTCAGGGGAGCGAGGAGTATTTCCTGAAGATTGGCACGGACTCCCCTGAGAATCTGCTGGCTTACGCTGACTTTGACAACACTCCCAACACCTACGACCTGCGCAAGGAGTACATCCAGCACATCGCCGACTGGCGAGAGGTGAGTCAAGATAACACAGACACCAGCTTCCTGAAGAGCGTCCTCCTCTCCTCTCCTCCCCTCCCCGTGTCTTTGCTGCTTTCTTTCTTTCTTTCTTGACCATCGATCACCAGGGCGACCCCACCTGGGCGGACGGCAGGGGGAAAGGCCTCATTGGGGCTGTCAACTATTTGTCTTGGAAAGGCCTCAACATGTTGAGCTTCCTCACATTCAACGTCCAAGGTAGGTCAGTGAATGAGTGCAAGAAATGTCACCACAAGAGCTTCCCTCATTGTGGTTCGTCTGCTCGCCTCACCTCACCCAGGTGACGACATGAACGTCTTCCCCTACACGTCGGTGTGGGGGTACCGCATTGACGTGAGCAAGACGGACCAGTGGGAGATCGTCTTCGAGCACGCCAACAGCAAGGGCATCGGGCTGCACGTCAAGACACAGGAAACCGAGAACGAGCACCTCCATGGCAATAGCACCTTTGATGTCCGCCGGGCAATCTACTACCGTGAACTCATCGCTCGCTTCGGCCACCATCCTCTGCTCATCTGGAACCTGGGTAAGGGCCTTCTGGTGGGCGAAGGCGCAGGGGATGGGATTGACGCGCTGTGTGTGCGCGCGCGCGTGTGCGTGTGCGTGTGTGTGATAGGGGAGGAGACGAAGATGCCCAGCTGGGTTTTGCTGGCGGCGGCTGAGTACATCCGAAAGGTCGATCCCTACGGCCACTCCATTGACGTGCACACCTACCCCGACTGGAAGAACGATGTCTACCCCGCACTCATGTGGAACAACGCAAGCAAAGTGTAACAAGCAGATAGATCGGCAGGGCCCGGCCCGGCAGGGAATACGATACGGCATCGCATTCTGTGTGTCGTTTGTGCCCATCCATCATCCATCTATCTGTGCAGGACCGGTGCTTCTCTGCAGTGTGTGCCCGAGACCATCAACGCCGAGATCAACGAGTGGATACAGAGATCAGCCGAGAGCCCACACCCTTTCGTCGTGTCCAATGATGAGCAGAACCCGTATTACTTAGGTACCTATGCTAGGCGTCCCCCCTCTCTCCCTTGTCAGTCAGTCATTGTTTTCCTTTCCGGTTTGCATTCAGGCGTTCAGATTGATGACATAGACCCTGATCATGACTTCATAAGGCGGCATGCGCTCTGGGGCAGCTTTCTCGCCGGCGGCGGCGGCGTGGAGTTTTATTTTGGGTGGGGATTTCGCTGGCACCAGACAGGCGAGCAAGGCCCGATCATAGGCAACGACGACGAGGAGGACGTCCCGTACTCGACGTGCTCGGACATCACTTGCGAGGACTTCCACACCCGCGACAAGATGTTCTCGCAGGCCTTCCTGGCCTGGCGCTTCATGACGCAGAACGATATCCCCTTCTGGGAGATGAACGGCATGAACCACCTCACGCCGCAGCCGGATGACTTTGTCTTTGCCAAGCTGGGCGATATCTACCTCATCTACACGTTCACCAACACCACAGAAGTGCTTCTGGAGGTGGCGAGCGGGGTTAACTACTCCGTCCGCTATTGGAACCCCAAGACGGGCGGCGACATGATCGACAATGGGCAGATCATCCCGGCCGGGGAACCAGGTGGAAATACCACCAGCCGCACCGTGACCATGCCGATGCTTCAGGCGGCGCAGGTCGGCTCACCTGACGTCCTGATAATAGTCAGGAGAGTCGATTTCGCGGCGGCGAGGAGCCTGCTCAGAGAAAGAGAACAGCTGGAGGATTTGCAAGAACTAGTGTCATGACGTTGCTTGGATCTGTGATGACCGACCGCACTTTGTTTTGGTCGTCGTGCACTGCAGCCGTCCGTCCCTGTCCTTTGCTGCCTGCCTCGGTTTTTTCCATCCAGTGCAGTGAGTGTGTCGTCTCGTCTTGCGATTCCTCGGTGGACGAGAGGAAGTTTGGTGTTTGATTGATTGAGCTCAAGTTTTGCCTGACTGACTGACTGAGTCGTATCGTATCTGCGTCGCCTCCTCTTGCGTGTGCGCCTTTCTCCTCCATGAGTGTATGTGTATCGCAAATTGGCCGTGTCACTTAGTTGACTTCAGGTAGGCGGTTGGCTGCCTGGTCGGTTGGTGTGGTTGGTGTGGGGGGTGCGGTGCATTCATGGACGGATTTGTTTGTACGTCGATGTCTGCAGCACAGCAGCAATGCTTTCGTGTTGGTGTGTGATGTGTGGGTTCCCTCCCCGCTGCTCAAAAGTGTATCTATTCATTCGTTCGGTGCAGTGCATGCAAACAGACACATTGAAGATCTTTGAGAGAGAATCCTTCCGTCGGAATCGGCATCTCTTGCTCCCTGCGGAGCCTTGTGCACTGCAGCTGAGCCGATTCTCATGCATTCAATCCCTGCCCTCTGTGCGAGCTTAAACAGCAGAGGCGCGTGTGCGAACAGCAGATCAGAACAGCAGATCTGCGGCTCTTACTTGCCACAGGAAGAACAGAGCCTGCGCCATGAGTGGGGAAGGCGAATTAGGCCCTGGCTCTGCATCCAAGGGCAAGAGAAAGGGCGGATACCAGCAAGGCGGTGGCGGTGACCGAAAGGTGCGCGAACGACAAACAAGGACATCACGGAGTGAATGCCCCTCATCCCTGCCTATGATGTGATCTTGGTCAGCGCACGAGGCGTGACTTCCCGAGAGGCTCCAGAGGATGGCTGCTGACGGTGTCAACGCCCGGAAAGGGCCGAGAGGCGACCAAGGAACTCATCACACTGCTCCAAGACGTGAGCTGGACTCTCATGTGTCACTCACCCATCATCGTCTCGCTGCTGGCGCGTATTCTGAGTGCAGTTTCTGCCGCCTGCCGATGAGGAGGCGGCGGGCGGTGAGGCGGGTGGTGTGAGTGCAGCCCTGGCCAGTGAGCTGAGCGACATGCGGACGCAGATCAAGCAGTTCGTGCCCATATACGACGTTGTCAAGGTCAGGAAGTCACACACCGAGATTGACGCGATACGATACACCTTCATCGATCTTCCTCCTGTCTATGTTTCTCACATATATCAGAGTGCGCACTTTTTGCGTCTGGACACTCCGCAAACCGACAAGGAGAGCAAGGACCAGGCGGCCGAGATGCGCGATGAGGACGAGGACGAGATCATGGAGATACCAGACGAGGAGGACGACAGCCGCCCGTCAGAGCTGGCGTGGAAGCTCTTCGACCGCACTGTCAACACAAAAGTGGCCAACTCGAGGTGGGCAACGCGGCTGGGAGAGAGAGATGCGTCGCTGATCACCTTGTTTGTCTGCCTGGTTGCAGGTTCATCAATCGTCTGCTGCCGATCGACTACATCTGTCGTCCCCACATGGAGAACTTCACCCGACTGGCCCGGCAGCTGATCCCACGACACTTCACACCTGCACCAGCCAAGCCGCAAGCCGAGGAGGGGAAGGCCGACGGCGAGAGTGCCGCTGTGGCAGCTCCCCCCCCGCCGTCAGCACCTGAGTCGTTTTGCACGTGGAAGTGTGAGTTCAACGCCCGCAGCATGAAGACAATCGCGCGAAAGGACGTGTATGCCGCCATCGAGGAACTCATCGACAAACGGCACAAGGTGGGCAGGTACATGCCGCAGGCAGGCAGCCAGGCACATGGTTTGGTGACGCATCGACAAATCGATCAGGTCAATCTGACGAATCCTGACCGGACCATACTCGTCGAAGTCAACCCAGTTAGAGAATGACACGCAGGCGACACTACCAGTGCATATTCTCTGCCCCTCTCTCCCCCCGCTCTTGCTCTTCTTCTCCTGTGTGTGTGATTCCATCCAGCGTTTCTGCGGCGTGTCGGTTCTGCGTGAGTGGTCCCGGTTTGAGGGCTACAACCTGGGCAAGCTGCTGGGCACCGTGCCCAAGACACACCTTGGTAATGATGTTGACAAGAAGGGCGGTAAGGCCGAGAAGGGCGGCAGGATGGATGTGGAGACCGAAGATGCTGCAGCACCTGTTCAGCAGCCAGGGGAGGGCTGATGGATCGATGGATGGCGATGGATGGATGGATGGACGGGACGATTGAATAGCAGTGGTTGAACGTCTGATCATTTTCTCGCTACGCTTGGCGAAATCGATACAGAGAGACAGGTAGTTAGTTTTATGAAGACTGAATGAATGGAGCTGTACATGGTATGGTCACCAGCCGATTCATTCTGTCTTGACAGACACATATACAAGAATGAATGAATGAAGGCACCCCACGTGGTTGCTGAGCTGGCTATACACGTCACGCGCCTCCCCCCACTCAGTCATGGTCATGCACACCGATAGACAGACAAATAGGTTGATAGATAAAGCAAACAAAACCCATCCACCACAACATGACTGTGTTGCATGAGGTACCAACTCACGCACTCAGTCTCTGTCCCCCTCTCTCTCCCGTGCCCTCTCTTTGTCCTTCCGCCGCTTCTTCCTGGCCCTCTTCCTCTCAGATCGGCTGCTGTCGCTCGACCCCTCCTTCCGCCTCCTCCTGTGCTTCCTGCTGCTGTGCTTGGATCGCTTGCGCTTCTTCCGCCGCCGCTCGTCGTCGGAGTCGGACTCACTGGAGCTGCTGCTGCTGGCAAACTCGTCATCCGAATCAGATAGCCTGAATCCGACACATACATACCGGCAAGCAGGGCAGGCAAGATTACGTCAAGGTGATCGATCCACGGCATTCATATGTATTCCCATCTCACACACCCAATGGGTCTTCCGCGGATCGCCTGGATATCCACATACGGCAAATTCTGATGTGCAGAACAAACAGATCACGACGCAGACAGGTGGGTGCATGAGCAGGTTAGGTGGTTGTGCTGGCTGGCGTACCTCTCCCGTCACTTCCGTGTAGAACTTGTCAGGCCTCCACCTGTCAGGTTTGAGCGCCACCTCGGCCTTGGCTCTCGCCTCTTTCTCGCGGTCCTCCTCATGCACGTTGACGTTACGATCGGCCACATCCAACGCATTCCGCACACCACCTGCTGCCACGGGCAGGCAAGGGCAACGCAAGAGGGAGGACACACACAGACAAACACCGCATAGCACACAGTCCAGTCGTGAAATGGACGACTCTCCTCCCTCCCTTGGTGTGTCGGTTTCTCTCTCCTCTCTCTCGTGGTACCTTCCTTCCTTACCTTCTCTCCTGGGCACTGATGCCACCCGCCTGTGGGCCACCCGCCGCCGGTCAGCGGCGGCCTTGTCCTCCCTCTGTTTCTGCTCCCACATCTGCCTGGTCTCCAGCACCTTGTTCTGCGACTCGACGTGACGCAAGATGTCCTGGGCGTACTGGCTGGAGATGTGGCGGCCTCCTCTCCTGGCGGAGCGGGATGCGCTGCGGTCCTGAGGCATCTCGTCGCGGGGAGGCGAGTCGTCGTGGGCGTCGGGCAGCTCGGGAGGCCTCTCGGGGATGCTGAGCTCCTTGTCGCTCCCTGACATGGCCGGAGAGCAGACGGAATGCGACATTGCCAACGAAAATAACATCGGACGCTATCTTGAACCAGCACACGGGTCAACAAACACTTGACACACCAAACTTCCCCTTCTCTCAGTTCTCTTTCCCTTTGCCAAGCTCGCGATCGGTGGAAGGTGCCGAAGAGAGCTCATCTGTGGAGGGCGTCGTCGTTTGCACGATACTGCGCATGGCGGCCTCGAGAGGACTCAGTGGTCTGTCGGCACTTTTGGTTGTGGTGATAATCACGGCATCAGGCCTCCTGGCTGGTGCACGAAGAGGCGTGTTCTGGAAGCTCGTAGGCCCACGAAGGAGAGGCATCTGCCACAGACATGGCTTGGTTTGATCGCATGTTTGCTTTGCAGGATGCACGGGACTGTGGGTGCGAGTGCTGCTTGGTGGCTTCGCGGCTCGCTTCGGAGAAACTCGCAGGCATAGATAAGAAGGTGGGCGCATCGGAAATGTCATTCATGTGCTCGCCCTTTTCATCTCTCTCTCTCTCTCTCTCTCTCTCTCTCCCGTGTGTCATCCATGGGTTGCTTTGCAGTGCACTCCTCCCGTTCCCGATACGCTGCACCCCGATGGTGCGCTGAGCGAGTGCCATCATAGAGATCCTTGCCGACTCACAGGCAACACCATACTCACAAACGCAGAGTTCGTTCCCCTCAAGGTCAGTCAGCACAGCCACGACACACACACACGTGTACTTGCTTCACTCCCCATGCCACTTGTGTGTTTGTTTGTTTGTTTGTTGTGTGCAGCAATGGTGTTATTACGCGTGCGAGTTGCCATCGGCGTTTGCGGCCATCGGCACGCCCTGCCAGGCAATCAGTGGCGAGAATGTTCTGCTGGCCCAGACGGGAGATGGCAATGGACGAGATGCAGCACACTACTCGGCATAATAAGCAAGGGTGTCGGATTGACACCTGGTGGCGATTGGGAAGGGGCGGACGTTTTCCAGTCTCCATGGTGAATGATGGGGTAGGTGGGTGCTCTTTGTGTAGCCTGTCTGTGTGCGTGTCGATAGCACGATAGATAGCTGTACAGCTGACTGACTGACTTGAGTCTCATCCATGGTGGGGTGGCATGTACGTACGTTGTGTGAAGGGCTGTGTGGATGGGATGTCGGTGGCATCGCATCGCATGCATAATTGAGTGAGGTTCGAGGGCCGGATACATACATCTGTCTGTCTGTCCATATGATATGAAGAACATTGTGCTGCACAGGGAATGAATGAATGCAGTGCACGGGTTTTGCACCACCATTCATTCCATCACACACATCCAGCGAGCTGCTCCATGAGTGCTGAAGAACACAATGAAGGATCAACAGAACACCGAGTGAAGCCAACATCCCATCTAAACCACAGACATCTCTCTCTCTCTCTCTCTCTTCCTCACACACGCACACACACACTCACATAAGTGAGACCATCGATCGACATGTGTCTGTCTCCATGTGTCTGTCAGTCATCCGTTTGGCATGGGCGGCAGTGTGCCGCTCCGTCGGCAGTACTGGCACACCTGGTCGGCCTTAGCACGCATCAACGACGAGAACTGCTCTATCATTGCCTTGCCTGAACCAAGAAACCAAGACACACACACACACACACGAGGGAGCTCCCAGAATGTGCGTCTTGGCATCCTTCTGGCACACCGCTTTCGATCTCTGTGGCCTGGAACTTATTGATCTTCTCGAGCCTGGCAAAGGAAGGCAGAAAGGCGAAAGCACGGGGGGATGTGAAAGAGCTTCATTCCTCGCTTCATCCATTTCTCGCTCACTTGGCAATGCGCTCCTGAAGCTCATGGAACTCCGCCTTCTGCAGACAAGACAGACAAGACACAAAACGCATACACGTGGAAAATTAGGGTGTTGCCACAAGGCGGCTTACAAGTCGTTGGTTTTCCTCCTTGGTGTCCTCAATCTGCCGCACCGTCGATCCCCTCATCTCACTAAACGCCTTGTCAAGCGCCTGTACACACACACACACATGGCTGGCAGGTGAGGACATGATGCCTCACTCCCACCCTCCCCCCTCTCACATACGCACGCACGTCGATTTGCTTGACGACGTCCTTGTGGTCGCCGCGGAGCCGCATCGCACCTGACGACTGCTGCAGCAAATGCATGTGCTGAAACGCGCACACAGGACGACAGGGAAGGCACAGCTGTGTACCACAGCTGACCAATACCTCCCTTGATAATGAGAATCCTTCTAAGCATCCGTACGTGGACGACGCGATGCAGCTGCTGGTGCAGCTCGTCAGAGGACCGCCTGGACGAGACGCTGTCGGCAGACCTGCTGCTGGGGCTGGCGTCGCTGTGCTGTCGGCCCAGCTTCAGCCGCACCATCATCTCCTTGTCCATCCCGAGGGCAGGGTCATCACTGCGCCCATTGAGCGATATATCGGGAGCGGCAGCGGCATCATTCATGAGGTCGATGAGCGGGGATGACGGAGCATCCGACCTGCCTCTGTATTAAAGCAAGAAGCACAAGCAAACAGTCACGATGGGGAGATGGATCATTGTATTGTGCCTTTATCCCCTCGCTGGTTTGCTTACGTGCCGGTGTTTGCCTCTACGACCAAATTGTCTACGACTGCTGGCCTGTCCTCTGGATTCTTCTTCATCGCTACGCCATGGAATGGAAGGCGAGCTGGGAAATGGCCTGTTTGCCACAAAGACGATGCTCTCACTGTAGCACGACGGTGGCAACGTCTCCCGATGATCCTCCCGAGAATAGCAGCGCAGTGGATCGGCGATCCACAGGAGATTTGAGAAGTGTGCTATCTCCCGGGCTGAGGACTACCGCGAAGGACAGAGAGGCTACCAGAATCCCTTTGGTCCGACTTTCACTGTCAGATCTAGAAGCGAACCGTCAGATTCTCAGCTTATTCGCCTCCCTCACTTACCGCCAGCTACTCAGGAGTCGCTGCTCGGTCACATCGTTTGTGGTCCATCATGCCAGGCTCTCCCGACCAGAAGCGTCGCCGCATTGAGGCAAATGACATTGATCTCAACTTCGCACCAGGACAGGTGAAGAGCCACACGCAAAGGACAGGGCGGTCAGGCAGATCACCGTGTGTCTGCCTCTCATCTCCTGCCTGTGTTTGTGCTGGCGCAGGCCTTTGCAATGGTCAATCGCGAGGACGGCGAAGGCACGATGATCCTCCGCGGCCGCATCTCTCACGTCGACAAGCTCGACGGCATTCCCAGACAGAAGGGCGGCGTGACGGTCAGCGGCCGCCGCTACAGCACCATCTCGATGATCCCCTTCAGCCAGATCCGCGAGCGGGGCTTCCGCGCCCACAACGAGGGCGAGAAGATCATCTGCATGGAGATCGACGAGGCCGTCGAGGTGCCGACCACCGAGCTGACGGCCCGCCTGCCGCAGGAGGACATCGTGCTGGACGGAGAGTTCTCGTTCAACTACTCCAAGGACGAGTATGAGCGGATCGTCGAGGACGTCCTCAACAAGGAGATCTGCGGCGGGGAGGGCAGCTCGTTCGTCACGCCCAGGAAGTGCACCGGCAAAATCCGGAACTTCGGCCTGCAAAAGGCCCTGTCCATCTATCGCCGGCTGCTCGTCAACGAATTCGGGTCCTACTGGTGAGCAGCGACCGCCCCACACGACATGACAACAGGCGGGGGGCAAGGCAAATTGTGTGTTTGCCTGTGTGTGGTCTGGTGTGTGCAGGAAGTTTCTGTATCACGACGGTGATCAGTACTTCATGGGGGCGACGCCCGAGAAGCACCTGACAGTTGAGGGTGGGGAGGTCCGCATGAACCCCATCAGCGGCACATTCAGAAAGAACGACACACACACCAAGGACACACTGCAGAAGGTAAGCGTGTCGGGAGGGAGGGAGGGAGGGAGGGAGAGGGGCCTGCGGAGAGAAACAATACGTACGGCCAGGGACTCATTTCAGTGTCTGTGTGTGTGTGTGTGTGTGTGTGTTTGCTGGTGCATATGTTGCAGGAGCTGTTGTCGTTCCTGTCCGACCCGAAGGAGATCGACGAGCTGTTCATGGTGACTGACGAGGAGCTCAAAATGATGTGCAAGATATGCCCAGAGGTACACACACATACAGCACAGCCCCCCACCACTCCCCCCCCCAATAGGGCGCGCCCTCCTCCCCTCCACATCTGCCTATCTATCCGTGTGTGTCACGAGTGACCAGGGTGGTTCGATTGAGGGCCCCTTGTTGAAGGAGATGTCCCAGCTGGTGCACACCGAGTACCTGCTCAAGGGCGGTGCCCGCGGCAAGGACGTCATCGACTGCTTCAGGAAGTCCATGTTCGCACCCACCGTCACCGGCAGCCCCATGGGCAACGCCTGCCTGCGGCTCTTTGACTACGAGAAGGAGTCGCGGCGGTACTACAGCAGCGCCTGCATGCTCCTGGGCAACGAGGTGACGGGCGACGGACAGATGGGCGAGGAATTCCTCGACTCGTGCATCACCATCCGAACACAGGTCGGTGCGGTGGGTGTGCGGTGCCTATGGTATGGACGAGTGTGTGTGTGGAGTGGATGAGATGGGAATGTGTGTATGTGTGTGTGTGTGTTGTGCTGTGCTGTGCAGGAGGTGGCCAACGACGGCACGTTTGCCATTCGCGTGGGAGCGACCTTGGTGAAGGACTCGGTGCCGTCTGAGGAGGTCAAGGAGTGCGAGTGGAAGCTCAAGGCATCCATGAGGAGCCTCGAAGGCAAACACATATGCAGCAAGGTGGGAAGGGAGGAAGGGAGGCAGGTACTCATGCAGCTATACTGCAAACCAATCGGCTCTCCCTCCCTCCCTCCCTCTGTGGACGGACGGACCCATATATTCTCTTCTCATGTCATGTGTCTTGTGTGTTCAGCGTCCGTTGATGGTGCAGCAGGATGTGTTTGTCACCCCTGAGGAGCGCGCAGAGCTGCAGCGAAGACTCGAACACAGGTGTGTCAGTCGAGTGGCTGAGATGCACACACACGGGTTGCTGACCGATCAAATCACATGATGACGCCTGTCGGTCCGGTGTGGTGTGCAGGAACGCCACTGTGTCTGAGTTCTGGCTCAAGGTCTCACCCTCAGAGAGCGTCGTCGTAAGAAACAAAGAAATAAAGACAGACACCCAAAACTGACAGACAGACAGAGAAACAGAGATGTGGTCTTGCTCGTTCTTGTGTGCGTGCATGTGTATGGTATGGCAGGATCCGCACTTCAGCGGTCTGCGGATTCTGATGATGAACAACGAGGACGACTTCGCACACATGGTCGGTCAGCCAGTCAGCCAAACAGCCAAACAGCCACGCAGTTAGCCCAGCCATTCAGTGAGTGATAGATACACCACATCCTCCCCTGTCTGTGTGTCCTCTCCTCCCTGTCTGTCTGTGTGTTTCGATAAACAGCTGGAGCACATCCTGTATCGCCTGGGCCTCAAGCCCGTCACATGCAGCTGGAGGGGTACGCCACACACACACACACGTGTGCCATTCACACACTCCCTCCATCCCTCCCTCCCTCCTTCCCTGCCCCTCCTCCCTCTTGTCCATCCATCAGAGTTCGAGTCAGCGTACGAGTCTGGTGCCACTGGCGAGAGGTCCCATTGGGACTTGGTGCTGGTGGGCCCCGGCCCAGGCGACCCCAACAGCGACACCGACAAGATGACCACCGTCCGGCGAATCGTCAAGAACCTTCTCGACACACAACAGAAATTCCTCGCCGTCTGCCTCGGACACCAATGCACCGGTCAGTCAGTCAGCTGGTTTGTCTGTCAGTCAGCAGAACACACAGACAGGCACAGAAACCATGCCCGCCCATGAGGATCATATCTATGTGTCTGTCCGTGTATGCCCACAGGTAAGGTGTTGGGTCTGACAGTGCCCCGTAAGTCGAAGCCTCTGCAGGGCGTGCAGAAGGTGGTTGAGCTGGCGGGGCGGGCCGAGCGAGTGGGCTTCTACAACTCGTTCTACGTCCAGCACGACCCACACATCCTCAAGGTCAGGCAGCAGGGGAGAGCACCTGACTGACCTGCAATAAACGTCGCCGTGCTGCCGTCTTATGTGGCGTGTGCTGTGCGTGTGTGTGTTTAGGATGCGGAGGTGAGTGTGGACGCCGAGACGAATGAGTGTTATGCGGTGCGTGCCAAGACGTTCGTGAGCTACCAGTTCCACCCTGAGTCAATGCTGACTCAGAACGGGCTCGAAATCATCCGGGACACTATCAAGTACACACACACACACACGAGCAATGTGGGTGAGCATGGGTGTGCTCTTCTCTGTGTGTCTGTCTGTGTGTCTGTCTGTCTGTGTGTCTGTCTGTCTGTGGGTGCAGGTATCTGGTTCCCCTGCCGCAGGCCAATGGGTGCGCGGCGGCAAATGGCAATTAGCTAGCTGATGCGATCGATGCGTCGGGCAAGCAGAGCGTGTGTGTGCTGATGATTAGTGCACACGTGCCCCATCTGGTGTGGTGTGTGCGATTTTTCATGACTGATCGACTGACCGACTCGACAGACCAGTCGGACCGGCAGATTTGCATTAAGGAAGGCAAGGCGGGTCTGTGTTTCTTTCAAGTCAAGTGCATCTCTCCATCTCTCCAACTCATCTGTTGTATGGTGCCTGGCCATCTGTGTGTGTGTGTGTGTGAGCTCGTGTTGTGAGTGAGTGCTGACTGATTTATTCAATCAACGGCTTGACCTGACCAACACGACAATGGCGCAGCGCAGCGCACCACAGTAACTTCATTCAAGTCTCATAGACTGACTGAGACAACTAACTGACTAGTGGATGGTACTCAGTTCCACAACCAACCAGCCAATAACCACACATGAGCTCTCACATCTGTCTGTCTGCACACCGAGGGGGTCCTCAAGTAAGTCACGTAAAAGGTCACGTCGGCCAGACGGCCAGCCAGCCAGGCATGATGCAATATTACATGGGTCCATCCGTCAATCAATTGTCATCCTTCTCGTCTTCGTCTGACGATGCATAGAAGTCCCTCTTGCCTTGCCGAGGTCCCACGATGGTGCCGGCCGGCCGCTGGGCCAAACCAAGCGTGTCCGTCCTCAAAGAACAGATCCTGCACACCACACACCACACACCACACCACACACAATCAATAAACCATGCAGGCAACCAGTAGGCAGTCGATCGTCTACCTCTTCCTCGATATCCTTTTCCGGCCCTCTCTCCCGCGACCGCGACCGTGAGCGTGACCTCATGCCTGCCCGCATACCCCCCCTCGCGAAACCGCCAGGGGGCGCTGCCTGCAGCGACACATCCACTGCGGGCCGGGTGGACTGCATCAGCGACTTGAGCTCGGAGTACGCCTTGGCCGAGAGATGGAGGGGGAGGAAAGCCGCCACCTCTGGCTGGTGGTGCAGTGCAGGGCGGACGTGTCCTTGTCGAACGCATCTCTGAGGGTAGGTGGGTGGGGCGATCTGGTGGACGACACAAACACATGTATGGCTGGCTGGCTGAGTGGCGCGCGTGATTCACTTACCGTCTTGTCGTTTCCGCAGTCTTGGATGCGGCGCTTGAATGCCTGGACGAAGAGCTGCAGCCACAGCTGAAGCGCTTCAAGGCCAAAGCCGGCCCCCCTCCCTTGAATGGGATCTGCACTGCAGAGGACACACACATCATATGCCGCAAACGGACCAAGGATGCACAGCACAGCCACTTCAACACGCGTGTCGTGTCCCCTCAATGCATACACACACGGTGTGTGCAATCAGTCAGTCACCCAGTCGAAATGCTATGCGCACATTACATTGCTCTGGCGGCTGTGAATGGGCCGGGCGGTGGTTGTGGTGGTGGTGGGCGAGTCAGCTTCCCATGCAGACCCTCCCACGGAGCCCTATCTTCCTCCGGCAGACAGCGCGACTCGAGCATGGCCCCAGCCTGACACAGCCACATGCACGGCTCCTCTGGCCAACCGTGGCAGACAGCACTGATTGCCCCTCCCTTGAATGCTGGCGATGTTCTTCCACTCCTCTGCCCTATAGCTCTCGAGCTCCTGCACGCAACCGCAGCCCATACGTACACACAGCCCATGGCACGCTAGGCAAGAAGACACACACCCCAGAGGACACCTGGGAATGATCGGGTTGCAGACTGCCCTGGTGTGCTGCTCTGCTCACTCATGGCGGGCACATCTGCAAAGGAAACAACCACACACGCCCTTGTCGCTGCACAGACAGCATCAGTGAACAAATCCTTACCAAATCAATAATGAGCTCATTGATCTGCAGATCTGCCACAGTGATCTGCCACACACGTGGCAGATCAGACGGGACGGTTTCGAATTTCGCCCTCCCCTCTGCTCCTCCGATCGCGAGCTTCGACGGCGAGCTAAACTGGATTTGGGACTTCGTTGGCCGTTCCAGCCTGTGGACGGCCAGCATCCTCAGGTGCAGGTGCCTGTTCTGCGCTGTGTAGCTCTCAAAACACCACCTGAGCGTCGATGACTCCAAGCCTCTTTGCCGTCGCCCTTGGGCGAGGCGACCTCAGCTCCCTGGCTGCCTCGCCTCACAGCCCTTCGGTGGCCTTCATTAGGACCCTACTGCTGCACAGAAGTGGCGGCCTGCAGGTGCGTTGCGTTGCACATGGGGGGGAGGGAGGGAGAGAGGAACACCCAAGAGGCGCTCGATGGTGCTCATTTGTCCATCTGCCCCTTCTGCTTGTGTGCCTTGCTCCGTCTCAGGTGCTTGGCCGGCTGATCAGAGAGGAGCGTTCGAGTGTGCTGAACGCGGGGTTCATCGTGATAATCCAGCACAGCCTCTCCGCTGACGGCACGGCCATCCTCCTCCTCTCCACCCCAGCCGCCGGACGAGTGCGCGTGCAGCCAGCTGGGCCGGTCCCCGTTGATGTGGTGCAGGCGTTGCGGTCGACCTACTGCGGTCACGAGCAGGAGGTGCCCGACGCCATAGCGCGGTGTCTTGCCGGGGTGGGTCTGAGTGAGGGCGGGCTGATCGAGTGTAGCGAGAGACAGGAGAGGGCCATCGAGCAGTGGCTGCAGCAGAGGCAGCGGGAGGTCGGCGGCCACCACCCGCACGACCTCAACCACCCATTGCTGGCGAAGAAGGGCTCGTCCAAGCGGCTCATGGCGTGCCCACTCCCCCCCTACCACCCCCACTCCCACCCCCATTCCCACCCGCCTCGCATAGCTTTCCTCGCTGAGCACGGCAAGGACACCACCAAGGAGGAGAACTTCAGCCCCAAGTCGATTTCCACTCACGTCTCGTCATCTGCCTCGTCCATCCCCTCGTTCCGGCGTCTGTCGCCCCACCCGCTCAACGCCCACCTGTCGCCGTTCAACGCCTCTTCCCCCGACTTCCTGCGGTCTGCCGCGTCCATGTCTGACGTCACTGGCGACTTCCTCAGCGACGAGTTTCCACCCATCAGCCCTACGCCCCCTCCCAGGACCCCCCTCGCCATGCGAGGAGGGGCCTTCACCATCCCCCACCCAGAGAAGATCAAGAAGGGTGCGGCAGATGCCTACTTCATCGACGAGAGGGAGGGCGTGGCCGCCGTGGCCGACGGTGTGGGCGAGTGGGTGCAGCTCGGGATCGACCCCAAGTTGTTTGCGCAGCAGCTCATGGACGGTGCCAGGGTGGCGGTGCGGTCGTTGTCGCAGCATAGCGACACGGATGACGACTTCGACGTGGTGCGTCAGGCGTCGGGCATGAGCACTGCCACCACCCACTACCAGTCCTACCCGTCCGGCAGCCCCGCCTCCGGCAAGCACCGCACGACGGTCGATCGCCGCCCCAGCCTCCCGCCCCCCTGTGCGTCTGACCAGCCCCTCCTCCCCCCTCTGGCTGACGCACCCAGCAAGGCGGCCGCACGCGCACTCCACGCCATCAAGGGAGGGCTCGAGGCGACCAAAGAGAACAAGGCGTGGGGCTCCAGCACGGCCATCATCGCCTGTCTGGACCCACTCGGCCACTCGCTCGGCGTGGCCAATCTGGGCGACTCCAAGGCGCTGGTGTTGCGTCGCCTGAAGCCCTCTGACGGCGATAGCAGCAGCGGCGGGTCTGCGGCGGCCGAGGCCGACCGGCCTGTGAGTGCGGGTAGCGAGATGAGCGTGGCGGACCCTGCGCCGATGGTCATGTGTGAGGGGGTGCGTGTGGGTGCGGTGCCGCACTACAAGAGCATGCCGCCCAAGAGGGAGGACGGCGGCATGGAGAGATGGAGGCGGGCGGTGGCAGGGGTCGACAGCAAGGGCCAGGGCCCGTGCGGCCACCAGTGGACGGTCGTGCATCGCACCACGGAGCAGCAGCACTCATTCAATTGTCCTTACCAGGTACAGGACAGCCAACACCCAGCTAGGTGGCACCCACATGCACACATCGTCCATTCCATGTGTGTGTGTGTGTGTGTCGGTGATATATATATGTCAGTTGGCGAATCTGCCCGGGGCGCCCGACTGGCCCCAGCTGCAGAAGGAGGGCAAGGGCAAGCTTGTGCGTCTACTGCGCAACGCTTTGATCAAGAAGCAGCCCAACCTGTCAGACGACCCTGACAAGAGCGACCTCTACACCTTTGACGTGCACGAGGGCGACCTCCTACTCATGGGCTCGGACGGGCTGTTCGACAACCTCTTCGATGACGAGATAATGGAGCATTTGAAGACCGCCGTGCCGCCTAGCGGCCCCGAACCATACACGCCGCCACATGTAAGAGAGAGCAGAGGGGAGAGGGATTCTCATTCAAATCATGTGATTGTCTGTGTGTGTGGTGTGGTGTGGCATGTCAGGTGGTGGCTCAGTCGTTGGCTCGTCGTGCGCATCAGCGGAGTTTCGACCGCAAGGCCCTCACGCCATACGGGGTGGGGGCGCAGAGGAACGGAGAGCGACACAGGGGCGGCAAACCTGACGACAGTAAGCTGACACACACACACCGACAGACACACTTAGGGGGGGAAGGGAAGGGGTCGGAGGAGGAGGACGCACGGCGAAATGCTCATCCTCTGTGCCGTGTTGGTGCATGTGATGATGCAGTCACGGTGGTCGCCTGTTGGGTCATGCGCGCACACGACGACTGAGGACACAAGACAGACAGACACAAGACACCCACGGACCTGTGTGTCCGTCCGTCCATACGTACCGTATGTACGTTTGTTTTCTCTTTCTCTCTCTACCTGTCCCTGCCTGCCGCCTTGCCACGTATGCCGCCTCCCGGTATGATGTATAATTTTCGGCGCGCCACGTATGCCAGCCATCCATCCATCGTCACACACGTGCCTGACAAGTGCATCCATCCACGGTTTTTTCCCGGGGTCATGTAGGGTGTGCGTACTTACTTACGGGGAGGGAGAGAGGGTCGGCTCACATCACACGCAGAGGTCGGCTTTTCTTGGCCGCTTCATTCGTTGTGATCAGAACAAACACGCCGTGATGCACGTCAGTCACGGTGCCCTCCCTCCTTGCTGGCTCGTGAACTCTGTGTGTCGTCCCGTCTCATTCTCATACTTGCTTTCCGTGTCTGTGTCTCTGCGTGTGCACGCCCTCTTTCTTCCTCTGCGCAGTGAGTCGGGAACATATGTATGAGAAGTTTCGATGTATGGGGCGGGGTGGCCTGGCGTGGCATGAGACGGACGATGCTTTTCCATCCAGTTTGTTTGCTCTCTTGCCTGAGCCCGGGTGGGTGGACATGGCGGCGTTTTCTTTCAAGCAGCTTGTTGTGGGAGGGAAGGGGAGAGAGAGAGAGAGAGAGAGAGAGAGAGAGGGAGGTGGTGGTGCATTGGTCCACCCACTGACTTGGTTGCTCAGTGGCTGGGGGGGTGGGGATGTGTATTGGTTCATTCGTCTGTACGTCTGTACCAGTATCTATCTTTCTTCTGGCTGATTGATTGGCCACATAACTGACTGACTGACCGACAAACGACCGACCGATGAGGGATCCCCGCCTCCCTGTTCGGAAGTTCGTTCGGATGCATGTGATGTGTGTGATGCGTCTCGTCTGTGTGATGTGTGATGTGTGTGTATCCGTGTGTGCGTGTGTGTGACCCTATCGATCTATTTGCCTTCCTAATTGCTGACGTGGCCTGTACATAACACACACATGACAGATAGGAGAGAGAGTTGAGAGATCAGATCAGATGAGATGAGATGAGATCAGACCAGTACCAGACCATTCGAGCGCTTTGACTGACTGACTGACCCGCCCATGCATCGATCTGTCCTCCGTACCGCGAATTGTCGTGTCGGTTGGTGCAGGACAGACAGATGAGAGAACAGAACAGAGCACAGACTGCAGACGGAAGTGCCTCTCTCCTTCCTCTATTGCTGCCTAGTCTGTGATTGCACGGATCAGATAGTCCCCTCACTCACTCACTCACTGACTCACTTCACTCACTGACTGACTGAGTCTTTTTCTCTCTCGTCCGGTGCACAGCACACGACACCACACCACACCACATCACATCACACCGTACCGCACCAGACAGCAACCATGATGGCCGATCGATTCAATCGATGTAGAGAGAGGAAATGGCCGCTGGCTTGATGGATGGAGAGGAAGGGAGCAACGATATGGGGTGGTGGTGGTGGTTTTATTATTGCCGACCGAACCTGGGACCTTGGGTGGATCTTTTCTCTCTCAAAGGCGCTTGTGATAGTTGTGCTGCGGACCGCTGTGGAAAGATTCACTCAGAAGGACGCTTACTCGCCTCTGTCATGGGCTTGGTTTGTTGTCTCTCTCACTGACGCGAATTGCACCTGGCTTTGCAGCTCAGGTGATGTTTGCGTCAGTACAGGAGATCGACATAGCCGAGCCCATAGATAGAAGAGGTGCTGTACCCACCCGTGATGACTGGGATTATTTGTGACCTTGATTGATTGGCGACACGCACTACACACATGATCTATCTGTTGAGTATTGGTCACTGGCTACTGGCAGGCTATGTATGAGTGCTCACTCGCCACACCGACCGACCGACGAAGTGCTGCCCTTCTTCTTCCCGACTTGGTCTGATTATTTTTGTCCCCCACTCTGCTGTCTGTCTGCTGTGCTGCTCTCACTTCCGCACTTGGGCCCTACCATTCTCCCTCCGTGTGTCTTACTGCCTGACTGCCTGACTGTCCCTTCATGGAGGGGGTTTTGCCAGCTAGATGTGATGTGTGTGACAGTGTGCCTCATTGTTGAAGTGTTTGCCGCACTCCTCTCTCCTCCCCTCTCGTCTCCTCTCCTCGCTGCCCTGCCCACACCCTGCTGTATGCCATGCCGCTGTGTGTAAGTTTCTGCTGTGCACATAATATGCACAGACATGGACAGGACACCGTCGTTGTGCACCCGTGTTGTGCCTGCCACTGCCTGCGTATTGGTTGCATTGCATCGATGATGGCTGGGTTGGTTGGTTGGGTGGATGCCGACGAGTGAAGTAAGTGGCTGGGTGGCGTTTTGTAGGGTGGCGGGCGGGTGCTGTTGACGTATGTTGGCCGGGCGGGGTGAGGTGAGGTGAGAGGTGGGTGACCCATGCATCTAGCGACAGACACATCAATCAGTTGGCGTGTGCAAAGACTGTAATTATCGTGGACGAGTCCCAAAACAAAATGCAAGAATTAGTAGCGCGTGGCCTGGATCTTGCGAATTCAATTAAAACAGGCCAGGATGCACACATCGTAACGGCATTCATCCAACGGCATTTGCCAACGCCTCCCTCCCTTGTCTAGCGCCAGAAACGTCGACACCGCAGGCCGGCCCAGCAGCAGCATCAAGGTGACCAAGTCGCTGTCCTACAAGTACTGTACATCGGGCAACGTGTGCGTCTGTGTGCGTAAGATGGACGTCGGGAGCCTCAAGCAGCAGAAACCTCAGTCAACTCGCCGCAGCGTGCTGGCCGCTGTCGGCGGCGTGGCCGCCTACCTCGCCACGATGGCCGCCGTCTTCGGCCTCTGCTTTGCCGCAGTGCAACGTAAGCCACCCACCGCACAAACAGAACGAGACACACCAGGCCTTTGGTTTGGACCCACCTCTCTGTCTCTCTTGGCCGGCAGTGTCGAAGGACGTGGTGGTGTCTGAGGACGATATGCTCGTGAGCAACAAGGACCAAGTGCCGCTGAGGTTCAACGAGGACCTCCAGTTCGTGCCTGTCGAGGGCTTGGCCTTCCTGCCGCTCGCCGAGATCCAGAAGCTGGAATCGCTGCACATCCTCGTGGGTCGACACACACAGAGAGAGACACACACACAGACAGACAGACAGACAGACGGACGAACGGAGACAGACGATGCAGACGCACACTCGATCATCTGTGTGTGTGTGTGTGTGTGTGTGGTTGGTGTGTGTTGTGTGCGTTTGTGTCCGTGTGCAGGTTGGCGAGGACGGCGAGCGTGTGTACAACATCCAGGCGGTGTTCCGCGACTTCAAATCAAACACCACGGAGGCCCACCTCTCACTCGGACACAAGCTCGTGTCCACACCTGGTCAGCAGGAGCCCTGACTGACACACAGTCATCCATCGCTGTGTCTGTCTACGATGTGTGTTTGTGTGGGGCATTCAGGCAAGTTCTCCCTCATCGACGAGAAGGGCGAGGTGGTGTTCCAAGATGAGTACGACTACGAGCTGACGACGCCAGAGGAGGCCGCCAAGGTCAACAGAGAGGAGGCCGAGGAGCTGTCCAGTAGTGAGGGCGGCGGCATGAGACGGAGATTGGACCCCCGCGTTGCTGGCGCGATACTCGGAGCGAGTGAGCGAAGTCGACAGCAATTCTTACATGACGCATCGTGTTGACTCATTTTGCTGTCTGTCTCAGTTTTTGGCCGCAGGGGAGGCTTCAATTACGGCTACAGGCCGCCGAGGAGGACAGGTATGTCTGTCTGCAATGACGAAGATTGCTTGCACCCTCATCATATATGTCCTCACAAGGATGGGATGGACGCCCACGTGTGTGTATCTCTGTGCTGTGTGGTGTGCGTGTGTGCTCAGGAGGCTCCAGGTCCACAACCTACCATGCAGACGGGTCAGTAACCCACCATCATAGCTGGGAAGTACATCACCGGCGGTTGTCGAGCCGCATTGTGTGAACAACAAACCAGCTGAGCTGATCTGATGGCGGTCATCCTGGTTGCCATCAGCGGCTGATGTAGATAGAGGGAGGGCACACACCGTGATTGGGCCCTCGTTTTTTCAACTTGCGGTTCGTGTGCACACGAGAGAGAGAGAGAGAGAGAGAGCACGGAAAGAGATCGGAGAGAGAGGCTGGGTTGTGGCATGTGACGTGGCAACAAGGGAACGAGCACTCGAGCGAGAGAGAGAGCAGCATCGAAGAGTGAGTATGCGTGTGTATGGTATTGCTGTGTGTGCTGTGCTGTAACTATTTGAGCAAGAGAAGAGAAAAGATCATGTCCAGCGACCGACTTACTTGGTCTACTTGGTCACAATCTGACCAAGTTGGTGAGTCTCGTTCGTACATCCCTTTGTACGTGGCTTTGCGTCCCTTGGTACGGTGGCCTGGGTAGAGTACAGCGCGCACTTCTCTCAACAGCAGCGATGTGCGTACGGTGTGTCGGTCTGTCTGTCTGTCTGTCCGTCCGTCTGTACAGTGGGCGTGGCGTGCGTTCTGTGGTGGTGGGTCGTTCTCGCCACCTGTTGTCATCCGTCTGCGCGGTAGGTGTCTGTCTATACCTTTAAAGAGCAGCATTTGATGCACGAGAAACAAAGTCTTTGGTCGATCGAGATAAGTGAGTGCCGCATGCAGCGACCGGCACGTCAGCCGGTCGGTGGCTCGTTGATGGCGAGCGCGCGCGCGTGTGTGTGTGTGTGTGTGGAAGACATGTGTCTCCGATGTGTTCACACCGCAGTGAATGAGTATAAGGCGTATCCCTCTCTCCTACAAGCACTTGCACATCCAAATTGCAGGATCAGGATAATCGGTGCCATCACGCATCACCTCATCATCTTACATATTGCAGTTGGTGTCTCTCCAACACGCCCAAACCGCCGCCATGAACAAGGACACCTGTGCCGCGTCATTCCATGGCTTCTCTCTATGCCCATCTTCGTCTGTGTGTGTGTGTGTGTGCGTGTTTGTGCGCGTGTCAGTCTGTTGTATGTTGGTCGAGTGAGTGGGGAGACGTCACCGCCACATATATGGGGATGTGGGAGTGGGTATGGTGTGCGTAATTGGGCTCGAGTTGTGGTTGAGCAACGTCAGCAAGAGACGCATTGCATTGAACTTATACAGACATCCATATCGTCCACAGACGAACAGAGTCCGCCACTCAACCCTCACCAATTCTCGTCTTTTCGGCAGGCGCCTTCCCCCAGACACCCACAACCCACTCAGCCGTGAATGCATCCACAGAACATCCATCCATCCATCCATCTATCCGTCCATGCCTCCTCCCCCCTCCCCCTCCCTCCCCCCCCTGCCCCTGCCCCTACCGAGCGGGGCACCCTAGGCCCTCTCTTCCCCACTATGGCTCACCTGTGTTGTGTGCTCTCCTCTAGTGCGGGATGAGGTGGGCGAGGCCGTTTTTGGTCAACAGTGGGCGGGCCAAGGACATCGCGATGGGATATCGGTCAGCCAGCCGCTCCTGGCCCTCGATCTTCGCCTCGGTCGTGTACAGGTTGATGTTGCAATCGATCAGGTACAGATGGGCAGCAATGGCGTCACCTTCCTTCATGCCCTTGAGGATGATGAGTCGCAGCCGCTCATCCTCCCCCTCCTCCTCGCAGATGAAGTCGATGGTTGTGTGCCCGTTGATGGGCTCGGTCAGCAGTCGCTGATAGCGCTCATCGCCATCGGCCACTGTCGCGTGGATTGCCCGCTTCTCGTCCACCCCCTCTTGGCTATACCAGTCCACCAACACCATCCTCTTCATGAAGGCCGTGAATGAGGGGAAGAGGGAGTCACCAACGTCCCCGTACCGGATGGGTGGGTTGTGGGGGTCGTATGTGCGGCGGTAGGGGTGCCCGGCAGGGAGGTCAGACAGCGACACCGTCTCGAAGTCCCACGCATAATCCCCGCTTCCGATGAGATACCGCCGCCCGCCGTCACCTTCGTCGCCATCGGCATCATCCACCTTTGTGAGTGCGAGGCTGGTCCCCTGGTAGTTGAGGAGGTGGCCGAATGTGCTGTACTGGCGGAGGGCGAGGGGCATGGTGTGGAAGTCGCCCTTGGTGGGCAGGTGGGCCGCCATCCACTCGGCCGACATGACCAGCGGTAGGCCAGTTGACGGCGTCAGGTTGTAGATGTCAGCCAGCCGGATGAAGTCGGGCCACTCACACCACACCGCCCCGCCATGCTCGAGTGCATAGCAGCATCGGCACAGATAACCGAAGTGCGACTGATGACCACCATCGCCACAACCAGCATCTCCACCTAAGGTCGGTGCGTCACTGCTGCTGCTGGTGGGAGGGGCAGGGGTGGGTGCCGCAGCATCGGTGGTGTCTGCTGCTGTCCGGTCTACGTCGATGAGGCCCGTCAGCGAGTGGCGGCTGAGGTGCTTGGCGATGCGGCGCAGCACGAAGGCCTCATCGACGAGTTGGCTGCCATGTGCCCTGCTGATTGGGCGGGCCGAGCCGACGGCCTCATCGATGCGCAGGCACGGGTAGATGACGTCACGGCAGACATCCGGCGGCAGGCCGTCAGCCGAGTCGTCGGGGGGTTGTTTGGGCGTGGCCAAGCCGATGGGCGAATGGTGCCCTTGACGCCATCCCCGACGTCGCGCAGCGCATCGGATGCCGACGAGAGAGCGGCGAAGACGTGCACCCACTTGTTGGCGAGAAAGGGCGTCTGCACCAAACACACACACACAGACAACCAGGGAGAGAGTGATGGCTGCAGTTCTCTCGTGTGTGTGTGTGTATGCGTGTGTGTGTGGTTGACCTGTGCCGCGACTGTGGTGTTGAAGAGCTGCTGCACACCGGCAGCCTCTCGTGTGACCTGCAGGCATCGCACACACACACACACATGAAAGAGCGCACCAGCAGTGATGCCATTGGGCCTCTCATGCGCCACTTGCCTGATCCATGTGTGTGTGCAGCGATGCGATGCGCTCCTCCAGACGCACCAAACCCTCACTGGTGGACTGCAGCACACACACAGACAGACAGATCAGTGAAGGACATGCTGCGTTGCTTGTCGGTTGCCCACCGGTGTGCCACCAGCACCAGCAGGGGCGCCGCCCTGTGTGCGGGGACAATTCGGCTCTCCTTCGCCGCTCATGCTTGACAATCAGAGCTACTCTCACTCAGAGAGCCAATGAATGCAAGGAGCGGGGAGCCAGCGCGCGATCGCATCAATCCGTAAACGTGGGGACCAAAAGGGAAAGAATTGGAGATGTTTGCCGAGGGGCTTGAGAGTCGCAGCCTGACGCCTCCCCCCGACCTGAGGAGCGGCGTTCGTGAGGTCCCCAGCCCCATTCCACGGTCCCTCACTCCGCCAGCCGTTCATCTCGTTCCGGTGGCCTTCGCAGCCGCCCAAGGGTACCAAGGTGAGCAGCGCAACGAGGCTCGAGGGCAGATCTGCTCACACACACGGATGGATGGATGGTCTCCATTTTTCTCCTTGTCATCAGGAACGTCGTATCTCAAATCGCAGTCGGTGAGCAGACCCGTGCGTGCGAATTGGTCCTCCCCCCAAGTTTTCTTGTCTGTCAGAGCGCTCCATATGCGTCGACGTACGTGGTTCAGTCGTCCTCCTCCCCCCGCCCGCAGTACACGAGCAGCTCGTACCAGTCCCCCCTGTATGGCGCCGCCCGGGGGGTGGGCTACTCCTCCCCATCGAGAGCCATGCCACTACACCTGGGGCTGGGGCTGGGGCTGTCGCCGCGCAGCCCCATGCAACAGGTATGGAATGACACACACAGATTCATCGGTTGTGGGGCGAGTCGAAGAGGGGGCAATCGGTAGTGTGGTTTTGTGTTGTGTTGTGGTGTGTTGTGGTGTGTTGTGGTGCAGGAGGGGTCTTTTTTGACGATCACTAAGATATTGGACATCAAGAAGACAGAAAACGTATGGGGGAAACTCGACAACTCCAGGTAAAGAGGAGAGGAGGGGACGGAGGGGATTGGGGAAGACGACATGCCTTGCATCTGCATGTGGTGTGGTCAGCTATGTGCTCAAGGTCAGTCCCATGACGGAGTCGTGGGAGATGTCAGACATGGTCATGCCCTACATCGTCGGCTCATTCCCAGCCACCGACAGCCCCACCACAGCCACCGCCCCTCCCCCGCCTGGCGGCACCCCGTCGCCCCTCGAGTGTGTGCTGTTTGAGGGCAAGGGCAACATGCTGAAGGTACCCATACACTTCGACGAACCGGCATTCGAGCTAGAGCTGTTGCGCGAAGGTCAGAACGGAAAGACAGAGACCATAAGTGGCTGTGGTGTGTATTGGGGTGGTCTGTTTGTGGTCAGATTTGCTGCATCGCACGGCGATCGGCAGTGCCCGTCTCCTCCGTCGCGATCCGCAGCTGCAGGTGCCGGCGACCCACGTGCTGAGCAAGGGCGGCAGCTACGCCGCGTCCATCAGCATGCACATCACCGAGGCCGCCAAGCAGCCCGCCAAGGCCTACGTGCGGCCCCAGCAGGTGACGAGCGGTGCTGGTGGGCTCGTCAGAGCCATCAGCTACGAACACAGACCCATCGCCCCACAAACGGTGCGGTGCCTCCACGCTCACATGGCACCCTCCTCGCCTCTTTCCCTCCTCATGTGCTCCGCCTTGTATTTGTGTTGTCTTTGTCATTCACGTCAGGGTGTGGGTCTTTCTGCGATGGGCCGAGCGTCCGTGCCGGAGGGTGTGCCGCTGAAGGGTGTGGGTTGTCGCGTGTTGGTGGACGGGCTGCTGGACCTGGCGCCGCTGCAGGGCGGGCCAGCCATGTATGCCGTGCAGCTCATGGGGGAGAGGGACGAGGTCCAGAGTGACGTCCTGGGCTTCACCCCCGCTCAGCAAGGGCCAAAGGGGGAGGCCCTCGTGCGATTCGATCAGGTAGCCGGGCAGCCACTCAGGTACGTACGTGCCCAAGATCAGCAGACGCGTGGTTTTGCGTGTTGGTTGAGACGCTTGTGCGTGTTTCTGTGTGGTAAGGTTGATGTACCACGGGCCCAATATCAAGGTGAAGGCGTACCGCGAGGCGATGAAGGCCCGCACGACGCTCGGTGTGGCGCTCATCCCCCGCGGGCAGCCCAAGAGCCCCCAGCTGACGCCATACCACCTCACAGACGAGCAGGGGAAACATGTTGGGACCATCGCACTCAAGGTGGGTAACTGAGACGAGGCCTGATGATAGAGGGCTCTGGAAGAGACTTCTGTTTTCTCCTCCCCCCTCTCCGTTCTTGTCAGATCATAGAGGATACCGATTCGCCATATGCGCCCGGGCAGATGGGCGGCGTGCGTGCGGTGACCATCCATCTGGAGCGGCTACTCGCCATACCTATGCATCAGGGCATCCTGGGTGGGTGGGCATCAAGGCAGAACCAACAAGAAGGACAAGGAGGGAGGGAGGGAGGGAGGGATGGAGGGATGGAGGGAGGGAATGGTGCCGTGTATGTTTGCCAGGTGGTCAGTCGCTGAGCGACTACGTGGTGCAGGTCTCGTCCGCGAGCGGCCAACAGATCACGCGCAAACTCGGACCGACCAAGGGCAAAACCAAGGTATGGCTGTCCAGAAGCTTGGAACGGGTCGTCACATCCTTCCGCAGCATGCACGTGTCTATGCATGTGTGTGTGTGTGCAGGATGGCCGCACGGAGGACGTCATGTTCAACCTGAGTGATCTTCGCGCCACACCAATGCGGCTCGACACACCGGAGTAACCGACAAAGAAAACCGTCACACGACAGGACAGCATCTTTCATGCCTTCCTGCATGTCTCATCTCTGGTTTTGTGTTCTTTTCAGTCAGCAGTTGGTGGTGCGTGTGTACCGTTTGGACAGCTCGAGGATGGAGCACCTGCTCGCCGAGGTGGCCCTCGACCGCACAGACCAGCGCCTGGGCGAGCTGGGCACCTACAAGCTCATGCCACCGAAGAGCACCACACAGCAGCCACCCACAGCGCCGCAGGAGCTCGGGGGCATCTCCCTCTTCATCCGAGAGGAGACACAGTCGCCATGGTATTGGGGGGCGGGTTCTGAGGAAGGGAAGGCCGATTCACTCAGGCTGCACTGCACTGCACTGCTGTCTGTGCGTGCATGCCATGCATGGCAGGTATGGCCGTCAGACGGCTTCGCGTGACGCCGGCGCCATGCTCATTCCGTACCGCGACCGCCGGCCAATCCAAGACCAACCGGTAGGTGTCCTATTCACCCACCCCCCACCCGTCCATGTCATGTCATGTGTGTGTCCCTCTCTCTTTCCCTCTGTGCGCGTCGCGTGTGGGTGTGGTGTGGTGTTGCCGGCGTCAGCTACGTGACGACGGCATGTTGGGTTTGAGTTCGGTGGTGTCGTCGTTCCTGCAGGGCCTGGAGGCCACGGCCTCGTTCGGCCTGGGCATCGGCCGCTCCCAGCACAACCTTCACCCGCACTCGGGCGTCGCCACAGCCATCTTCATCCACTCCATACACGACCTGCCATACCATTCCGGCGGTCAGCAACACACACCGGACCACACGACCCACCGACAGACACAACACAATGGATGGATGGATGGATAGATCCCGTCTGTCCGTTTGCAGGGCTGATGCGTTCAAGCGTAGACATAGAGGTGGGCAACGAGGAGGTGCTGCTGGACCTCTACCAGCCAGTGCAGGACGCCGGGCTGTCCGGCCCGCCACCCGGGGTCGCACGGAGGACCGACGCAGAGGCCATGGACGCGGTTCAGAAGGAGTTCCTATTCCAGAGAGACGACTTCACAGTGCAAGAAACGGGCAACGTGAGTTGGCAACACACACACATACACACACAGGGGGCATCTCTCTCTTGGTGTGTATGGCCATGTGTGTCTGGATGGCTGCAGGGTTTGTGCAGCTGCGACGTGCGCCAGCGGTGTGTGATTGCGGGCCCGCTGAGGTGTGTGTGCTATTGTTGTATGTGTAACCAACATGCCCTGACTGACTGACTGCATCCCGCATCAATCTGCGTGTCTGTGCATGGGTGTTCTGTAGGTATCAGACCAAGATGGGTTTCCGTGTGCGCGTCTACAAGCCGGCCGGCCTCATGGGGCTGGCCAGCGGGTAACACACCACATCATACCCATACGCACGCACACGGCATGGCATCATGTGTACTTGTCTCTTGTGATGAATGCATTCGTCAGTGGTGAGTTGATAGGCGAGACCAACCTGATCGAGGCCACGGTGGAGACGTCCACCCACACAACGCGGCAGGAGGCCCTCACCAGCCCCCGCGGCAAACACGCGGGCTTCGTACGAATCTCATACTTCTTGTCAACCGTCCAAGTGACCAGCGACACACACAACACAACAGCACCGCGACCCACACCACACACATCTGTATGTGTGGCTGCAGGTTGGCCGCACGTATGACTGGTCCACCGTAGCGGATGAGGTGCAAGGTAGGTAGGTAGGATGCCCTCGAGCCATTCCTTCCTGACCGACACGCACCGTACCGTACCGTGTGCCCATCCATTCAGCGGGTGAGCGTCGTTTGGTTCTGCCGCGAGGCGACCTGGTGCAGCTGCCGCAGCCGACACCACAGATGGACACACACCCGCAGCAAAAACAGCGGTACCCAGGCAGGCAGGCAGACCCTCCCAGCAAATCACTCACTGCGTCCGTTCCGTGCGCGTCTGTCTGGTCTGCAGTGACAGCCAGGCGTACCAGCTGGAGTGGCAGCTGCTCAGCCTCAAGCGAGAACTCGACAGCACCAAGAAAGGTAAGGAAGGTGCTCATACCCATGGTATAGCATGGGATGCATCTTAAGTTGCATTCATTGTGTGTATCTATCGACTCAACTGATGGGCTGGTTGGTTGCAGCTGCGGGTGCAGCTGCGGTGCCGGGCGTGCAGCCCACCCGGGGGGCCATGCCACACGACAACCGGTGAGTGAGAGAAACAGGGAGATGGAGACAGACCACCACCGGCATAAATCACGGTGGTGGGGCTTATCTTATGCACCGCTGTCTCGATGTGTGTGTGTGTGTGTGTGTGTGTTGGTAAGCAGTGCGTTTGAGGGTGTCTCAGCGGGGGCGTTGCGGTTCGGCGACATCGGGTCGGACCCCATCACACACAGCGCACCATACACCAAGATATACCAGATGCAGCAGCAATACCAATCCTCCGTCAAAGAGGTTACTTACTGACGGGGGGACAGCACAACCCAACCCACCCCTACCCTCTTCATGTGTGTGTGTGTGTGTGTGTGTGCTGATGGTTACAGCATCCGTTGAGTCAGCGCGAGTCTGTGGCCACGGCGCCCGACGGCACGCCGCTGTACCCCGTCACGATGCACCGCAGCCTCAGATTCCTAGACGTCAATCCCAGATACCGAATCGAAGGCAGGCAACTTACTTATAAGAGACAGACACCCATACATAAGACACACGTCTGTCTCATGGTGGGTGGACGTGATTCGTGTGCAATTGCAGATGATGTTGGTCAGTATTTCCACCGCCAGGCCTTCACACAGAGCGGCAAACTGGGCAGCCGAGTCACACAAGGTCGGTCGGTCGGCGGCATTCACACACGAGACAATGGAATGCATGGATGGATGGATGGATGCCATTTGGCCCCCTATCTATTACCTCTTTCTGTGGGCGTCGCGTCTGTCTCTCCATTAATGCTTTCTGTGCAGGCACGTTGCGTGAGTCGTTGCCGCATCCGCTCAAGACCATCCAGGCGGACCGTGATGGCAAGAGGGTAGACGACACACGGTGCCCCATCTCATGACATCACATCACACCACACTACATCTCATGCATGGTGAATTAATGAGTTGCCTACAATCGCAGTGCATGCGTGTGTGTGTGTGTGTGCGTATGTGCATGAGTGCATTCACGTATGTCATGGGTGTGTCGGTCGGTTGATGTGATGGACGCGCCGTGCCGTGCCGTGTCGGTAGAATGAGATGAGCACTCTGTACGGTCGGTGAGTGCGTTGAATGAATGCCCTGACTGGTGTGAAGGAGATATCAGTGTGTCAGTCAGTCAAACAGCCCCCCACTGTACACTGCACAACGCACACTCATCCCTCCATCCATCCACGTGTGTGTGTATGTGGGTTGGTTGGCACAGGCTACGTCCGCCCCGTCCTCTGCCTCACTCCTGCCGCACCCCCACCCGAATCGGTCGTCACTGCCGAGCTCTCACTGCTCTTCTCACCCACACGCACCTCTCCATCCTCTTTCTTGCCCTCCGCTGCCCTCTCCTTCCCCCTCTCGGCCACCTTGATCTGTCCGTACCAGAAACTCCCCGCCAGGGTGAGCATGATGCCCATGGTCGACTTGGCCGTCACCTTGTCGCCCAGCACCACAATGCCGCCGAGGGACTGCAGACAGGCCTTGCCGTACCCCACTACGTTGAAGGTCAGTGGTGAAGTCACCCGCACGCACCAGAAGGACGTCACGTTGAAGAAGGAGCTGAGCAGCCCCGACAGCAGCAGCCACCCCCACACGTGATAGTCGGCCGCCAGCAGCTCTCGCCACACGTGAGCCTCACCAGCCGCGTAGATCGCCGGCAGGAAGAGCACGGAGGCCAGCAGAAAGTTGTAGCCGCTGACAACATTCTGGTCGTTGTTGCAGGCAATGATGGCCCTCTTGATGAACACCATGTAGATGGCCTGGAACACCGAGCTACATGCCCCAGTTATCACGCCGAGTAGCTGCAAGGTTGATGGGTCAAAGGAGCCAACCAAAAACCCACTCACCACCAGCACACACGCCAGCCGCACCTTGACCGAGCTGACGTGGCCCAGCACCAGATACGACAGCACCAGGTTGAAAAGCAGTGTCAGCGAGCGGGCCACTTGGTAGGTGGACACTTGGACGAAGAGCAGGCACGTGTTGGAGAAGGATATCATGCCCACGAAGGACAGGGTCAGGGGGAGGATCGCCTTTGCCGTCCTCCAGGAGGGCCTGAAGCGGGGCACGATGGGTGGCATCGATGGAGGAAACACTGCTCCAAGCTCCCCCAAGCCAACGTAGAGCAACAGCCCGACCACCTGACAGCATTCGCAACGCAAGGAGAGGTGGAACGTTTCGTGCCGTGGACCAACGCGTGTGTGGCCCCCGGCGCATCGTTGCACATCAATCATATCATTCATCAGGAGAGGTGGGACTGTCGGCATACAATGACTGGCTCCCCTCACCTGCTGGAACCATGATACGAAGACTGGGTATTTGAACGTGTCAGTGAAGATCCGCCTGCATGCGCCATACCATTCACACCCCCGCACACACAGAGAAGAGAAAGCAGTGAGTGAATCATCGTCAGTCAGAGCACGAGTGCGCTTCTCCCATATATCCGTGAAATCATCCATCGTTGCTAGCATCACACCTGTTGACGAAGACGATGCTGAGGGATACGAGAGAGTACGAGACAATGGAGGCGCCCACCTCCACTGCATGATGGTGCTCCCCTCGAAAATGCTGCCTTTCCTTTGACGAATGCATCCACCAGCACCGAAGGCATCCCAAGCACCTCACTCCTCACAGCGTGTTGAAGGGCAGGCTTCAGAAAGCTCGCAAGTGCGATCGGTGCCAAGAGGCTTCCTGGATAGCTATAGAGGACGTGCAGGAACGTGTCTGAACCCTGTCAAGCAGGGGAACTCATCGGTGTGTGTGTTCCCCTTTTTACCGCTGAGATCTCGACGTACCTTCTCACCGCCGTGATTCAGGAGCACTGCTGAGGGCAGATAGGCGGCGTCAGCAACAAATCATGGACCCTCTGTGGCTGTGCGTTCTCAACTAACACTGGCGAGCGAGATTCACCCATCCACCGCCTGATCAATGTCATCGTCTGGCGATGCCAACCCACCTGACTCATCGGAGGCCCCTCCCTCTGATCCCACTGAGCAGCCCTCATCCTCCGCAGCTGCCGCAGCGGCCAAGCACACCCATAGCTATCGCGGCTCGCGGGAGCTCAAGCGACTCCTGGACGATGTGAAGCCGATCATCAGGAAACCAAGAGCAACAGAGCGAGGACCAGCTTCTCGGCGTCGACAGGACGCATCTGGTGGAGGCGAGCCGGCCAAGAGAGCTGCTAAGTCATCAGCAGGAGATGGCCTTGCAGCAGCTGCAGCAACAGCAACAGAGGCCAAGGGCGAATCGCAAGTCGCGGCGAAACTCGCGGCAGCGGCAGCGGCAGCAGCAGCAGCAGCTACTGCGGGGGATGAGGTCCCTCCCACCCCTCCATCTCGGCAGCGGAAGAGGACGGACGACAGCAAAAGCAGAGGCGGCAGCAAAGACGAGGGCGCGGGCGACCCGTCGAGCGCCGCCGCCGCAGCTGCCGCGGCCAAACCTGCAGACCGCGGCACAGGCGAGCCGGCAGCGGCAGCGGCAGCAGCAGCAGCTACTGCGGGGGATGGCGGAGCTCAGCAAGGTCAGTCGGGGTCAGGCGAGTCGGCAGAGGCGAGGGGTGAGGCGGAGGGCACTCAGACCGATGCAGTGGAGAAGAAGGGTGACGGAGCACCAGACAGTGGCGGCGATTGTCGCTCAGGTGCCGGCGAGGGTGGTGCCAAGAAGGCGGTCGGTCACACCCTTCGGGAGCTTCAGGCGCTGATGCGTGACGCATCCCGTCGCAAGACTGACCGGCTGCTGTCTTACGAGGACTTCCAGGGTCCCTACCCCATTCGCGGACGGAGGGGAAAGAAGGCAGCCGACGACGAAGCCGAGCCGCCCACCGGGCCCGCAGAGCACAAGACAGACATGGAGGGCGCGGTAGAGGACAGCCGCAAAGACGACGGCGTGGGCGAGCCATCGAGCGCCGCTGCTGCAGCCGCAGCTGCCGCGGCCAAACCTGCCGGCCGCAAGTCATCCAAAAAGGGCTCCAGGGGCGCCTCTCAGCCGCCAGCTGCGCCCCGCCGGAACCGTCTGTTGCAGGAGCTGGAGATCGACATGAGGGGCGTCGAGCTCGAGCCCAACGCTGCAGCCGTGTCGAGTGGGGCCGATCAGCAGGAGGCGGGCAATGGCGGCGAGGCATCCCCCGAGGGAGGCATCATTCGTCGCAGTGAGCGGCACAAGGGCGAGCAGCCGCCTGTCTACTTGGAGAGGAGGAAAGCCAAGAAACCAAAGGAGGAGCCCAAAGAAGAGCCTGCCGCCGATGGTGACGGCGGTGACGTGCAGCCCCAGCACGGCGATCAGGGTGGGGTCGGCGAGGGCGATCGCACGGGTGATGTAGTGGCCAAGACGGAGGACGTCAAGATGGAGGATGCGCAGGAGCACGAGTCCGACTCGCCCCTCAAGATCGACAAGATGAAGAGGGAGAGGGCCGCTAGTGAGGAGGGTGAGCCCCGCCCCGGGCGGCAAAACAAGAGGAAGGCGCCTAGCCAAGGGCCGGTGTCGGACGACATTGCGGCTGGCGGCCGCACCCCGAGAGGGGCTCGTGAGCCCGGGGAGCCGGACTCCGCCAAGCCCCTCGCGCGACCGAGGTCAAGGGCGGCCAAAGTGCCACTGTAAGCAGGGCAGCAGGAAGCACAGGCGACGGAACGCAGTGGGATGGTGTGTGTGTGTGTGTGTTCAGAGCATCTGATGATGAGTTGGCTGAGCTGATGGCGTTTGTCGAGTCGACTGACATGAGGGGCTTCGCTGCATGGGTGCAGATGAACCCTGACGAGGTGGGCAAGGCAAGGCAGATACACAACCGCAGACAACTTGCTTCAATGGGCGAGTAACTTGACTTGGCGTCAATCCATCCCTGTGTCGTGTCGTGTCGGCCTCTGCACGTGTCGTGTTTGTAGGATTTGAGTTTGGTCATCATTCACAAGAAGTTGCCCAACGGCCTCTTCCGTGTCTTCTTCGAGGCATCAGAGGTACACCAACACATAGGCACCCACACCCTGCACTTACTCACACCCACATGCTGCACTGCACTCATCCTGTCCCTGTGGCATCTTTATCTGGTGCAGCGCGACATGTTCGTTGGCCTCAATGACATCGACTTCACTGGCGACCACGTCTCGGTAAGCGAAGGAATGCGCCGAGCAACCACCATTCTACGCTATGATGGCTGATCTCTCCCCCTTTCTGCACGAGCTGCTTGTCATGCAGGCGACAGTGTACGGCCCAGCGGTGTGGATGAAGTGGAACAAGGCCCCGTGGCCCGCGCGGCTGCTGCGGCTCTTCGGCCGGGCCCGGCAGGAGGCGGCAGAGAGCCTGGGGGTGGCGGGCAAGAAGGTGGATGAGGCTCTGTGGGTGGAGTTTTTCGACCCCAAATGCTCCAAGACCTTCTGCATGAAGGCCGACGTGCGCACACACATCGCCACACTCGACAAACACCCACACCTGGGCAAAGACTCTACCACCGACAGTATTTAAGTGCACTCACTGCCCAGGCGGGGACAGCCACACACCCCGTCAGTCAGTCACACCCTTCCTCTTTGTGCAGGGCACCGCAGCGGCATGTCCAAGGCATCTCGTTACGCCGAGGGAGCGGCGCCGCCCCGTCCGCCCCACCGGTCCCTCGAGCTGCTCCAGACGTGGATCGAGAAATGCAAGACGGACTTCAACATCGATGTGGAGACCATCGACGAGATACCGAGGTCAGTTTTCCACCGAGGTGGATCGAGATGTGCAGGTCAGATGTGTGTCATTTGTGTCCACCGCAGTGACTTGCGTGTTGCGGGGAGTCGCCGAGCCACTGGGGCCGGTGCTGCAAAGCGTGTTGGGGGCGCCAAGGGACGAAAGAAGGCCACACCCAAGCGGGCCAAGACGGAGGTGAGCGATCAACGACACGTGGCGAGACTTGTGAGTCTTCATTCCCAGTCCGTGTGCATGTTTGAATGCCGTTCGTTCAGGCGGCAGCATCCTCTGCCCGCCGTGGGTCTGGTGGCAGCCCCCACCGGCCCCTTATTCCTCCGAGCCTACTCAGACACTCCAGCCGTAAGTGCAGGCCAGGCACAAGGAGATGGACGAGGGATATATATGAGATACTTCTTTCCATTTTCTCTCATTTCTGTGTCTGTCTGTCTGTCTGTCTGTGTCTGCAGGTCAGCGCAAGGAGAAGCGCCTGCATCCGGATGAGGTCAGCGATATGTACGCCGCCAGACACCTCGTCGACAGCGACAACCAGCAGCAGCAGCAGCAGCTCAAGAAGGAGGCCCCGCGGCCCCGGCCCAAGAAGGCCAAACAGAAGAAGACCCCCAAATCAGCCTTGGCGCCATCCTCCGCCCCCGAGGCGCCACTGCCTGGTGCAGGCCCACCTGACGCCCTGATGGACGACAGCGGTGCCATCAAGCTGGCCAACATCGATGAGGGGTTCAGCTATGTGGGCTACAAGGTGTCGCTGTCGGTGCCTGCTTTGCGGGAGCGACATCCCCAGGTGGCCGCGACGCTGCTGGGCCACAGCGGTCGGAAGGATCGGCAGACGGTGGAGGCCGTCATCAAGTTCTACTACCCCAAGTTCCGCAAGTTCTTCCTCCATTTTCTCGTCCCCGAGACCCCCACGTCAGCCGCAGCATCGGCAGGCACCACCAAGAGGGGCGGCGGCAAGGCAGCGGGGAAGAAGGGCGGAGCCGACAAGAAGGACGGCGACATCGATGCCCCTCGCGATGATGACGACGACGGCGAGTTCCGCTTCTCGCGCCGCATCTCCCAGCGCATGTGGATGAACCCCAGCGTGTTCAGCATCAAGCCAGTCTCCGACTCCCCGGTGTGGCTGCGGCCCGATGAGCCGCTGCTCGAGGCCAAGAGGGGCGCCTCGATGCTGCTGGGAGGCGATGGGGCCATGTTCACCCCCGACGTCCGGTCACCGGCACCGCAATCGCGCCACCTCAGTTCGCCGCCGCCCAGTGGGAGCCCCTCACGGCCCAAGGAAGAAGACGTCAAGATGGAGCCGGGAGGCGCCAGGGCACCCGCACCACCAGCCACGGTGGCCACATCCGCCGCTGCAGCAGCTGCAGCGGCTGGGGGAGATGAGGCCGTGCAGGAGGACCTACCGGCCGAGAAGCCCAGGACGCCCCGAGCCCGCTCCCCTGAGCGTCGTCCCCGCCGGCCGCCTGGTGTGCTGGGAACTCCATCTGGCCACTCGGGTCAGTCGGGGAGCTCCACCAGGGGCTGGAAGCCATGCCAGACATGTGGCCAGCGCGTCGATCACATCCGCGGCCATGGAGAGGCCAAGGACGTGCTGGACCGTGACGGCGAGAGGGACACGGAGGGCGAGAATGGTGGTGGTGAGGGTCGTGGCGTCAAGAGGAAGCGGAGGCATGCGGGTGATGATGGCGGCTTGGCGTGGGGGCTGCAGTGCTGTCGGTGCGGCGAGACGTACCACGGACACTGCCTGCTGCCGCACCAGCGGAAGGTCCCACCGAGGTAGGTGCGTGGGTTTGGTAGCAATATGACTGACACATCACATCCTCGTGAGTTCGTTCGGTGTCCTTTTCTGTATCTGCCTGTCATGTGTGTACTGTACGTCTGTCTACAGGGCTGAGGAGGCGCAGTTGATGGCTGTGAATCGCATCCACGAGGACTACCTCAAGAAGGTCGAGCTGGAGCGGCAGCGACTGGTAAGCAAGGAAGGAAGAGAAAACCACACACTGACTGACTGACAATTGAATTAAGACGCATATATATCACATCCATCTGATCTGGTGCCCTGCCCGTGTGTCTACTGTACGTGTCATCAGGAGCGTGAGCACGCGGAACTTCTGGAGCAGGAGCGGCAGGCCAGGGAGGCCGGCCGCCTTAGACGCCTCAAGAAACTGCAGGAGGAGGAGGAGGCACTGGCCATACAAACCGCCGCCCAGAACGCCTCCGACGGTGCAGCCTCAGCCTCAGCTGCGGCCGGCCCCCTCCCTCCGCGCAAGGCGAAGGCTGGTCGGCCCTCCAAGCGGCAGAAGATCGACCCAATGGAGGTGTTGCGTGCCGTGGACGCGGGTGACGTGCCGGACGACGTGGCGCTGCTCATCCACAAGCACTGCGGGCTGCCCAGCTCCCTGGTCCTCAACAAGGTGCGTCTGATGGCCGGCCCCAAGGCGGCCGGCGTGTCGGACGCCACCATCGAGCGGCTGGCCAACGAGTACAAGAAGCACCGCAGGCGGGCCAGGGGCGCAGCCGCCGACGAGGAGTCCAAGCAGCAGCAGCAGCAGCAGCAGCTCGCCAAGAGTGACCAGGGCAGCAAGGCTAGCGAATCAGACCATGGGGGAGAGGGCAGCGAGGTCAGCGGCGCCGCACCAATGGCTGCCGAGGCACAGGCACCGACCGAGCCATCAGCGGAGGGCAACGGCGAGGAGGCCAAGAGTGAGGCGGAGAGTGGGGCCAAGGAGGGGGCGCAGTCTTCGGAAGCCCCACCTCCTGTTGCTGCTGCAGATGGGGCAGACAAGGGAGCAGATGCAGCTGAGATGACGACTGGGGAGAAGCAGGCCCCCGATGAGCCGATGGAGGACGCCCACAAGGCCGACGATGCCCCCAATGAGCAGCAGCAGCAGCAAGAGCCACCAGCAGCGGCAGCCAACGGCCCCGCGTCGATGGAGGTCGACCAGCAACCATCTCAGCAGGACGCCGCACCGAAGCAGGAGACTGATAACGGCCCCATGGAAGCGCCGCCATCGGGTCACCAGGATGCCGCCGCAACCGCAGTGGTCGACGAGGGCAGTGGCGAGGCCGCCAAGGAAGAGAAGGACGATGAGGTCATGGTGGCCGAAGAGGAGGAAGCGTCGCCAGCAGCACAAAAGGAACCAAAGGACCAGAGCATCGCACCGCCGTCACCTGACGCACCCGCAAGCGCTGCCACAGGTGCGGCGGACCACCACGGCGGCGCCGTGAAGGAGGAGAAGCCATCTGATGGGGCGCAGGCAGGGCCGGGAGAAGCGTCGGCTGCGGCCATCGACCTCGAGCCCCCCACCCATCCCGCTGGTGCCGATGAGGAGTGCGAGGATGTGGAGGATGAGGACGAGTACGATGACGGTCCGTATGGCGCGGATGCGCTGCGGTGGGTGTGCCCCCACTGCCACATCTGCCGCTACTGCTGCGAACCACTGGAAGACGTTCCCGGACTAGAGCTGGCGGTATGCATGTATCCTAAGCAAGAGAGGCAAGGCAGTGGGGCGTCACATTCACATTCACATCACACGCGCATCACATCATCCGTGTGTCTGTGTGTCGTGTGTGTCATCCACCGTGGTTCGGTTTGAACAGACGTCTGGCGGCAAGGGCAAGAAGAAGCAGGAGAGCAAGAAGGTGGACGAGATCGAGAAGCATGTGGTGTGTTTCGGCTGCAACATGGCCGCTCACGGCGCATGCTGCCCCGGGACGGTTCCTGCGCTCACCGAGGGCTCGCAGTGGCGGTGCGACGCGTGCCTCAAGTGCTCGTCGTGCGGCCGGCGTGAGAAGGATGAGACAAACTACGCCGCATGGGTCAACGACTTCAACGTCTGCGCGCCGTAAGTCGAGTTGACACACATGCACTCACTGCACACAGCCAGGTCCCTTTCTGTCTGTCTGTCTGTCTGTCTGTTGTGTATCTATGCTTGTGTTGGCTGGTTTGGCGGCTGCATTCGTGACGTGAATGGAATACATTGCAGGTGTTTCAACAACAAGCGTGTGGGCAACTACTGCCTCATCTGCAACCGCATCTGGGTCGACGAGAGCGAGCCCGGCATCAGATGTGACGCCTGCAAGTGAGCCGAGCCGACACACACAGAGGGACGGGAGGGGCCCACAAGACAAGCCCCGCATCAATCCAATCCGTTGCTGGCTGGCTGTCCATTGTCCATCAGGGGGTGGATCCACGCAGCATGTGGTGGCATCGATGCGGCTCAGCTGGCCGAGTACGAGCGCAACAAGAAGGCCGTCTACCGCTGCCCCGTGTGCAGCAGCAACGAGGACAGCGGCCGGTACCAGCGCATCGTCGAGGGCCTCCTGGACTTCGACAAGCTGGAGCTGTTTACCTCCCCTGTGGGCGGCGAGGTCCTCTCACTCTATGCCAGGGTCGTCCAGAACCCCATGGACCTGCTCACCATGAAGAAGCGGGTATCATATCAAGGGGAAGGAAGGAAGGCACCATCACGGACGATGGATGGGTATGGGACGGCCGCCTTTCTGTATGCTATGTGCAGGCGAAGAGCGGTCATTACAAGACGCTGATGGATTTCCTGAACGACTTCGACCTCATCATCGGAAACGCTAAGGTCAATGCAATGCCTCACTCACACACAGCCAGGTTGCCGGTGCCACTCGTGTGTGTGTGATGTGATGTGATGTCTTGTGTGTTTCTGACCACCTGTCCTCTCGTCTTGCAGATCTTCAACATGCCCAACAGCCGGCCGTACAAGGAGGCGGAGCGGCTCGAGAAGCACGGCATCGCACTCATGCACGATATCCTGGGCGTCAAGGAGAAGGAGACCAAGCGCATGCTCGCCGCTAAGCGGGCCGCACCACCGGAGGTAGTCAACGGCAGCCAGCCCTCAGGCGCCAGCATCCATGAAGACGCTCTCCATGACGACACACCGGCATCCGCATGCGCGTAGGCAACACACAAGACACGACTCCACCACACACACGATGGATGGATAAGGCTAACTACTAAGTCCATGTGTCATCGTGTGTGGCTGCGTCAGTCGTGATGAGTCGTTTGACCGCGAGAGTCCCTTCCACGGCGAGTCGGCAATCGGTGGCTTCTCTCGCCCGAGGCAGCGCATGGGGCGGAGCGAAGGCCCCAACCAGTTGCCAGAGGACGGATTGGACGAGATGGGGGCCGACGGATGGAGCGGCGCAAGGTACGTGACTGACATCACACAAATGCAGCCAGAGCGAGCAGAAGATATCTATCTGTGCGTGGTGTCGTGTGTGCCTTTGCAGGGGGCTGGGGCGTCTGTCATTCGGTGAGGGTGCAGGCCGGTCACCTCGCGAATCCCTGGGGCCGAGAGGGGAGGAGACGCTGCCGCCGATCCACCAGATCTTCTGCCTACCCGATAACCAAGTACTCTTCCTGACGGTGAGCATACGACAGTCAATATAATGCAAACCATGACATTCCCGCTGCCTGCCATGCCATTCCATTGGTGTGTTGTGTGTTGTTTCTCTCTCGTGCCTACAGGACCCGAGCTCCGTGTTGCCCCTCAGCTTCCCATGCGGCTTCTGTTGGAGTCCGCTGCTGCTCGACCAGCTGCCCGTGACCGCCATCTACGGAGCAGCGCTGCTCGTGGCGGCACTGCTCTCACAGCCCGCCACGCACAACATGACTGATGGCGACTTGATGGGCTCCGATCCCCCGTCCCTGGACCTGTCGCTGGCCCTCACCACCCTGGCCGACGCCGCTCGTCAGCAGTGGTCCTTCCGCCACCTGTGGCAGGACTGCTGCAGCCAGTGCGGCAGCTTCGCCTACCCCGAGTACCTCATCTACTGCGCCTCGTGCGGCGAGGCACAGCACTTCTACTGTGCCGGCCTGGACCGGTGCCCCGCCGACCCAATGCGGTACACCTTCCTCTGCTCCCTCTGCATGCAGTGCCCCACCTGCCACACCCACATGAGGGAGGGCAGGACGCCCCCCGATCCCAGGACCCTGCCTGTCCGCTGCACCTCCTGCGGCACATGTGCCCACCTGTGCTGCCTGTTCGAGCAGGAGCCGTCGGACCCCTCCCCTCCGCCCCAGCCCGCCACGCCGCGAGAATCCTTCGGATCGTCACGCGGCGAGAGGAGTCCGGGCACATCACCGTCGCCTGTGGGATCATCTGGATCGGCGGTGCCGATGCTGAGGCGGCCGTGGACGGAGGAGCAGAAGCGCAATCTCGTGGAGATGTTCAGCCTCTCGCGAGCGGGCCTGGTCCCCGACCCCATCCAGACCTTCATCGTTGCCCGCAAGGAGGGCTTCTCGCGACCCGAGGTGGAGGCCATGGCCAGGCTGCTGTTAGGGCCCTCACGTGCACCACCCAGGCAGCAAGGACGGCTTCAGCTGGTGGAGATAGGCACCCCAGCGCATCCACCGGTGCATCACCCCCCGTTGCCGATGATCAAGGCGGAGAGGCGTCTTCCCCACATCAAGCAGGAAGAGCATGACGGGGAGGATGAGCCACTCCGCGCTGCTGCTGACGCGGTACGCACTGCATGCAAGCCACACGCACCAATTCGCAGCCGGCACAATGACACAGTCTGTCTGCTTGGGTGTGTCCTTCCTGCTCAGGTCAAGAGGCGTCGTGTAGAGTTGGGTCGTCCGGCAGCACCGGGCCCAATGCAGGTGTTGGGAGTGCTCGGACGACATGGGGGTCGAGTCCCCGTGCCACAAGTGTCCAGCCACAGTGTCGCCCAGCCACCGTTACTTCTACCCCTCCTGCCTCCATCGCGCCCTCAGGCCAGTCAGATGCCGGGCCTTCGTGAGCCGCCAGGTGACGAGGATGGCTCTGCCTCTGCGATGGACGTGGACGTCACTCCTGCCAGCGATGATGAAAGGAAGGGGCAGGACGGGACAGCCCAGGATGAGGCCCCCGATCCTGGTGCACCGTCGGAAGGCATGAATGCACAGCCCCAGCCGCAGCCACAGCCTATCCATGTTGACGCAGAGCCTGCGGCAGACGACAGGAAGGAAGACCGCGTCCACAGAGAGGTCGACCCGAGCCCCGACAGCTCATGTCGAGAGCAACAGCAGATGCAGCAGGAGGATGGGGCATCCAGGGCTGCTGCAGCAGCAGCTGTGGCCACAGACGGTGGTCGGGAGAGCGAGTCGGCTGCCAAGGCATCAGCGGCATCCGCCCTGGTCAAGGAGAAGCAAGCCAAGAAGGACGCCCCCAAGCAACCACCGGAGCCTGTCCAGCGGCCGCGTCGCCAGGGGACGCAGAAGCAGCTCGACGATGACTTTGTGGCGAGTTTCGACCTCAGAGTGCTCGAGGAGGAGCCTGAAGGCAAGAAGGGGCGAAAGCGCAAGCTGCAAGACGGCCCGGCCGCTGGCGGGTCTGCCCATTCCAGTCGGCGGCGGAGCGGTGGGGGGCAGGGAGGGAGATGGCGGCTCAAGTGGAAGTCGGGCCCAGGCACACTTGTGTGCGACAAGTGCGGCAAGGGAGAGGGGTGTTGCGAGTGGAATGACGTCTTCCATCGCAGACTCCCAACAGCCAAGCTTCTGCAGCCATACGTGCCGACAGCGCCCGCACTGTCCCCCGAGGCCAGTCCCGTCAATGCTGCGCCCGGTGGCATGGACGACGAGCCGATCGTGCCCCATCCGAATGACAGCCCAGCCAGCGGCTGTCGGCCCCCCTCTCAGCCCGCTTCACGAGCGCCATCCATGCCTTCGCCACCCGAGCTCCCTCCCTCAGAGGCCAGGCCCTCTGGTCCCGTCCCTCACCCGATTGCCAGCGGCCCGGAGGTCTTCCCCATCCCTTCCAGGCTGCCACTGCACCAGCCGCCGGGTCTTGGTGGCCCCCAACGACCCCCTGCCCCACGCCCACTGCCGACTGTTCATCCTGGGAGCGGTTCAAGTGCGGACCCCATCGACATCGACGTGGTAGAGGAGCCCTCACCTCCACCGAGGCCACCCACCAGACCAGTATACCACCCGGTGCCCGGGCATCCCCCGCCGCACGGTCCGAGGGTCAATCCGCTCGCCAGCTTGCTCTGGGCCACTCATCCAGAGAGCGAGGCGTCTGAGGCGTCAGTGACGGGCATGAGGGCGGCCTTGTCTGACCTGCGTGAGGAGCTGGAGCCCTTCCGGCAGGCGGCACAGGCGCTGCACCGTGCCACCCAGTCTGGCCAGCAGCTGTATGAGGTGCTCATGGCCGCCGCGGGTGCGTCGATGTTCTTCAAAAAAATGAAGGGGCCCGACGGGGAGGCCAGGCGGAGCACAGCCGTGAGGAGGGTGCTGACCGACTCGATGAAGGAGGGGGTGTCCAGCCCCATCGCCAAGTACGGCCATCTGCTGGAGCGTTGGATCAAGAGCCACCCCATCAACTCCCTCCAGCGCAGGCAGCCAGGCCGCCGCAGCGGGGACGACTCCGACATGCCCAGTGTCGACCCCCGGGTGGCCGAGGACTTCAGCAACATGTTCAGACACCGCGACTTCGATATGGTGGCCAGGGTGCTCGAATCACACGGGGGGGAGGTCAGGAGGCGGGCCTCTGACAACTACGCCAAATGGGTGGCCAGCGGGGTGCCTGTCGACGCGCCGTCCCTCCCCGACGACCCGACCGAGAGACGGTCCTTCCTGGCAGCCGGGACGGCGATTTGTTTCTCCGAATCGGGTGAGCGGCTGGATCAGTACCGCAAGGACTTCGGCAGGGAGCTGCGGCAGCGCAAGAAGGACGAGAAGGAGAGAGAGAAGAAGCAGATGGAGGAGAGGGCCAAAGAGAAGGAGAAGGCCGACAAGAAAGCCAAGGAGGAGGCAGAGAAAAAGGCCAAGGAGGAGGCTGCCAAGATGCCAAAGGAGCAGCCGGCCAAGACACCGGAAGGCGATGCAAGCTCGAAGGGATCGGTCGTGGTGGCGGGCATGGCAGGCGCCATGGCCGACGAGCCCCTCGACAAGCCCATCGATCCGTCGCCGACCGACAAACCCAAGACCCCTCCACTTGCCGGTCCACCTCGGTCCCCATCGCCATCCTCCAGCTCTGACGTCAAGATGGCGGCCCCCAGCCCCAGCCCGCTACGGATAGTCGAGCGGATCGTCAATCCGTCACCCAAGGCGCCCCCTCCCTACCAGCCGCGGCCACGGCCCATCCCTTCTTCGTGGATCAACACACTGCAGGGCGTCCGTCCGAGCCCATTGGCTGCCTTCCCCCGCCCAATGGGCCATCCCTTCCCCATCTGCTCACCCGCAGCGGCAGCCGCTGCAGCACTCGCCGCTCAGAAGGCCGGAGCTGCCGCACCGCAGTCACCGATGCGGCCCATGTCGGATGCCCAGCAGCGGCTTTTCTCCCTGCGCAATCCCTTCCCGATGCGGCCCCGTGTGCCGGTGCCGCAATTCCCCGTCCCCAAGTACCACTCGGCGAGCAGCCTCGCCGCACTGGGACTGCCCTACCTCACCACCAACTTGGCACCCAGCAAGGCGAAAGCGCCGAAGGTGCCAGCCGTGCCGAGGGCACCACGGAAGGAGAAAAGCGGACGGGACCTGGCGGTCTTGGACATCCAGAGGGCGGCGAGAGCGGTAAGCAGCAGATAGTGATAGTGAGTGGTGGTGTGGTGGATGGTCTATCTGTCGGCTGTGTTGCTTCGTTTCTACTTCTGCAGGAGCAAGGTTTCATCCAGACTGTTCTCCTCGACATCCGCCGGCGGTGCGACGATGGCGATGGCCTCCGTGCGGCCAACAGACCATCGGGGCAGGGACCCATGAGCCCGCTCCTAGCGCACCTGTCCCAGCTGCGGCAGAAGATGGCGAGGCAGAGCGAGCAGATGAAGCGCGACCTCATTGCCCGGTGCAGACACGATCTCCTTCATGTGGTCCGGAGTATGATCACCGGTGTGGGCGACCCCATCAAGGGCCCGCAGGACGAGAGGGTGGTCCAGGATGACATGACCGATGAGACCGTTGCGGACCACGGCGCCCGCAGCTGCCTGCTCTGCGGCGAATCATCAGACAGGTAGGTGAGGTGAACACAAATGGGATGGATGGTCTGTGCGCACTGGTCGACTTCTCCTTCTCCTTCCATTGTGCGCATCGCATCAGGTTGCTGCGGGGCGCTCTGTTGCCCCTTCCTTTCGACGAGGGCTGGGTGCACTCGGAGTGCCTGCTCTTCTCGTCCGTCCCGCGGCAGTGGGTATACCGACATGAGGGCCTCAAGCCGCCAGCACCCAAGCCGCGGCAACAGGGCGGCAGCGGCGGAGGGCGGGGCAGCGGACAGGGCAGCAGAGGCCAGGCCAATCTGGCCAACGAGACGCAACAGCTGGAGCAGCTGCATCAGGCCAAGAGACAACGCATGCTGCAGGTGGGCTGGGTTGGTCGATTGACAGAAACGAATCCAATGTGTGTCCCAGATGAATGAACATGAGGTCGTTTGGATCGGTCCATGTTCAGATCAAGAGTGAGGACATTCTTGCCCTAGCGAGGTCGCTCCCTGACCAGTACTGCGACCTCTGTGGCCAGCCCGGTGCCTTCGTCAGGTGTGCTGACCCGGCGTGCAGTCACGTCCCGTCAGGAAAGGGCCTCTTCGCCGAGCCGCGACACCGCATGTACCACTGGACATGCGCCATCGAGGCTCAGCCACACCACCAGATCAAAGGCCCCCCGCGGCACCCCACGGGAGAGGCCGATGCATCCAGAGCTGCCAAGGCCGCGGTGCCTGCCTCAGACCTGCACGCCAAGCTAGTGGAGGGCTTGGCCGGGGAGAAGGACACCGACACCCCGATGCACGATATCCCAATGGCCGCGATGGCAGAGGAACCCTCAGGAGCGCCACCAGAGCAGCAAGAGCCACCGCCACCCATCCCCATGCCCATCCCCCGCATGCCTTTGTCGGACAGTCCAGTGAGCGTGCCGGCCCCGCCCCCGCCCTCCCCTCGGGCGCCCCTCGGTGTTCTGGTTGACTACGCCTGCCGCAAGGTGTGGTGTGCCGACTGCCGCGCACCCTTCCCTGACCCGGAGGTCCTGCGGCAGGTGGGGCAGAAGCCTCTTGCAGACATCATCGCCCGCCACGTGCTGCAGCGGCTCGTTATTGTCCGCACCAAGGGGCGGAGAGACGGCGAGAGAGCTTCGCTCGGCAGCCAGGCCGACGGGGCGGCGACCGGCATTGAGGACCAGACAGTGGAGAAGGTGCTGCAGCGCCAGATTGGCAAGCCGTCGGGTCTGGCCATGACCGAGGAGGTCGACCAGTTCCTCTCGAGTGCGGCGCTGGAAGAAGCCAAGGTGCTCAAGACCGGCCAGAAGCCACTCGCCGACGCAGCCACCATCCAGGAGCGGCTCAGGGGATCTGATCCAGACAACCTCTCACTGAGAGGCGGGGGGATCCTGTCCCGCATGGGAAGCATTGCTGTCCTCCGTGTGGGCTACTTGGACAGCTATGCGGGCGGCCGGTATGTGTACCCGATTGGGTTCATGAGCATCCGCCGCTTCTGGGAGGTGCATCCCTCATCCCGCCAGGCCGCCCCCCGCCGTGCATCCTACCTCTGCAGCATCACTCAACGAGACGGCAAACCTTACTTCGCCATCACTCGCCTGCCCGACCACCCTCATGGTGGCAATACCAACGGCTCGGCCATGCCTGTCGTCGTGTGTGAGGGCTCCGAAATCGAGGGCGTCTTTCAGGTGCTCCTGGATAGGATTGGCCTGACGCACGAGACACCAACAGACGAGGAGGCGGTCTCGCGTGCCAAGGGCAAAAGGAGAGGGCGGCCACCTTTACGGCCCGCCATCAAGGAGGCCGACGCCGGCAACCGAGACGCGTCGATGGAGATCGGCGAGCCGGCGCCCGAGGCGGCTCAAGCCTCGGAGGCAGCCGAAGCTACAGCGGATCGCTCGAGGGATAGTGCGGCGGGCGAAGCCGCCCCTGTAGATCGCACGCAGCACGCCCCCATGGATGTGGTGGAGGGGCCGAAGGCCGCTTCTCAGCCGCCCGACAGCAGCCGGGACGACGTACACATCAAGACCGAAGAGGGTGCGGAGGCCCCTGTGGGTGGGGCATCGGTACCACCCGAGGAGCCGCCTAGTGTTGCTGAGAGGGTGGCATGTCGCATGCGTGCTGAGACCTTCTTCGGTCTCGACGCCCCCCTGGTAGTTGAGGCGTTGAAGCGCAAGGTGAAGGAGACGATGCGGCGCCGCGTGCTGGAGACCATCCCGGCCCACCTGCTGGACGTGAGCCACTTCACACACCACCAACAGCTCAGATGGAGACGACTGCCCAGGCCACAGGTGCCTGTAGAGGTGAGTGACTGGTTGGGTGGCTGGGTACACTGACACGGCCGGGCCATATGGGAGGGAGCATTTTATTGCATTCATTCACTGTCTCATGTGTGGTTGTATGTGTTCAGTTGGGTGTTGTCACCGAGGACGTGACGGCTCCCGAGGAGGCGTCGCTGGTGCGCACCATTGCCCTGACCAAGCCGGCCACTGCCACGCAGCAGAAGATGGGTTTGCGGCGTCAGCGGAAAGTCGAAACCCAAAACAACGTGCCGCTCGCCATGCAGTACCGGTACAAACAAAGGGCACACCAACATAACAGAAGCCACTCGTTCGTCCTCATGAGCTCTTGTTGGTTGGTGTGTTCTCAGCATCTTGCAGCGGATGCCGCCCGAGAAGCGTCTGATGGTCCGCACCTCCAACATCCACGGCCTGGGGCTCTTCGCGACCGAACAGATCAACGGAGGAGACGTAAGAACCACAACACAACACACCACACACGACCAGACAGACAGACAAACAGACAGACAGACAGACAGACGGATGGATAACCTGACCACATGGGCTCACGCACTGCACTCTCTGGATTGTCTGTCTGTCTGTCGCCATATTATCGATAACTCAATCATCAGATGGTGGTGGAGTACATGGGTGATGTGATCCGCAACGCCGTGGCCGACAAACGGGAGAAGATATACGAGCTGGAACTCGGCAGTGAGGGCGCCTGCTACATGTTCAAGTAGGTGACACACGTGACACAGACAGCACAGGCAGGCAGACAGGCAGACCCTCTCCCTCCCCACCCTCACAGGTATCGATCGCATCGCTTTATGTCATGTGTTGTTATGGTATGCGTGTGGTCTGTCAGGTTGGACGATGAGTTGGTGGTCGACGCCACTCGGTGCGGCAACGTGGCCAGATTCATCAACCACTGCTGCGAGGTACCTACGTACCTGTCGTGTACACTCGATGATCGACACGAACCTGTCTGTCTGTCTGGATGTCTTCTTCTACGCATCGGTCGGTCGCTTGTCCATTAATTATTGCAATGCAGCCCAACTGCATCTGCAAGATCATGGTGTGCGATGCCGGGCAGAAGCACATCATGATCATCGCCAAGCGGGACATCGTCCCCTTTGAGGAAATCACATACGACTACAAGGTGTGTAACCAACCAAAGCCGCACGCACAGACACTCACTAGTTAGTGTACATGGCACGGGAAGAGCGGACACCCTCTCCCCTCCCCTCCCCTCCCCTCCCCTCCCTCTGTTTGGTGTGGTGTGGTGTGTGTTGTCTTGTTGGCGTCAGTTCAACGTTGAGAGCGAGAAGATCATGTGCCGCTGCGGTGCACCCAACTGCCTGGGACGAATGAACTGACTGACTGACCAGTCAGAGAGACGGTCACACTAGCTGGAAAGGATGGGTATGGGCCGCAGCGCTGGCTGGCTGTGCAGGGTAGCACACGTTGAAGAGGAGGGGTTGATGTGTAACATTCCGACGACTGCCTGGCTATATGCGTAGACGCGGCAGGCAGGCAGTGAGGGAGTGAGTGAGCTGGTGTCACTTTGTCGGGCTGGTCGGTTCGTGCGTGTGTGCACATTCCCTTAATTGTCGTTCATTGGATAATGAATGACACTTACTTGCCTTTCCTGTCCGTCCAGACAGACACTATCCCAATGCATGCAATGCCCCACTGTATGTATGGTTGTACACCACGCCGTACAGTTCACGCAGTACCCACCCAACTACCAACATAACATCCGC